AAATCCAAAGATAGAAAAATACTCTTCAAGAAAATTCTTAACTGTCTGAGAAACTTGATTAGGAAATGACTTTGCGTAAACAAATCGAGACAAAGTATCAACAATGACAAGTATCACCTTTGATTTTCCATTCTGATAGGTAATTGGACCTTGAGCGTCCATCTCAATTCGTTCAAACACAGTATCAGGTATCGGCTTTAACGATGGTTCGGCATATGTTGTATTCGATGGTTTACTCATTGCACAAGTTAAACAGTTTCGACACAATTTATCGATCTCATCATAAAGATATCGCATCCAAAATCGACGAGAAATTTGAAGATAAGTCTTCTCAACTCCGAAATGACCACTTAGAACTGAATTATGTTCTTCTTCAAATAGCTTATTCAATAACTTAGGAGTTATCACTATTCGATAATTTTCATTTGTCACCATTGGTTTTCGGTAAAGAACTTCATCTCTTATCACAAACTTTTGTGATAATCACTTTTTGAATTTTCTCTCAATTGTTGTATCACTTCAGATATCATTGGATCTTTCACTTGATAACTGATAATTTCTTCTTTCCAATTAGGGTTCAATTTGAAATAGAACACAGAATTAGGTTTAATCACTCGATTCAATTCCCTAATATCTTGAATTGATTTCTCTTGATTGTCACAATCAATGTAAGTTGGATCACTTGTTATCATTAACAATTGTTCAACATATTCACTTTCTGGATCAATTGATTTCCTATGATCCCATTCCGATTGGTATCGGCTGAAACAGTCGGACGGATGTAACGAACCTTGAGTATAAATTACCTTATATTTATAAGCTCCAAGCATTATACTCCATCGTTGTAGTCTTTGGTTTTGAAATTGATCTTAGGAAGTTGACATAAAGCATGATGATCGGTTTCACAATGAACTCATCACCTTCCAAATAATGTCGAAATTTATTGATTCCAATCAATATCGCCAATAATTCTTTTTCACTTACTGAATAATTAATTTGATGTTTTAATAATTTCTGAGAGAAGAAGGATATTGGAAGCCAATTCTTAATTTTTTCCAATTGATTTGATTCTGGTTGATTAGGATCTTCCTGAAGTAAAATCCCTCCAATTGCTAAATCACTAGCATCAACCGTTAACTTTTTCTTTCGATTAGGATCGAAATGAACCAACATCGTTGTTTCGATTAATGATTGTTTTAATTTATCCATCACTTGATAGTCTTCCTTTAACATTTTAAACTTCCTTTCTTTTGATATTAATCGATATAATGGTGCAGCTAATTCAGCATAATTAGGTATATATCGACTAAAATAATTATAACAACCAAGTTGCGATTGTAATTGTTTCAAATTATTCGGATAAGGGAGATTTTTTAACGCTGTTACCTTACCAGGATCTGGACGAATACCTTTTCCATCAACCAAATGACCAAGTAATACCAATTCGGTGCAACCAAATTTGCATTTATCCGTTTTGACTTTTAGATTCCAATCTCTTAATCGAGTTAGAACTCTTTCAGTATTATCTAAAAGTTCAGGCCAACTTTTTCCCATTACTGGTACATCGTCAAAATACCCTAAACACTCCGAGTAATTTAATCCTTTTAACACTTTGTTCATTAATTGTTGAAATTCGAATGGGGCTGAAGCCAAACCCATTGGTAACCTTTTGTATTGAAACTTCCCATCGGGAGTAACAAATACAGTTTTACCTCTTTCCGAAGGTGGAATTTCGATTTGAAAATACCCTTGATATAAATCGAACATGTTAAAGTACTTCGAATCTTTAACTGCTTCCAGGCAATCATCTATTCGAGGCATCGGGTGAAAAACAACTTTAGTCATTCGATTGACTGTTCTTAAGTCATTCAATAATCTATACGATCCATCAGATTTAGGAATGATAAAGGCTGGAGATCCACCAGGAGCATCCGAAGGCTCAATAATATCTAACTCAAGTAGATCATTGATTAGGCTTTGGTAAGCTTTTCGAATGTGAATTGAACAGGGATATGGTTTCTGAAAGGGAATTTGATAATCTCCAATATCAATTTTAATCGGCCACTTTTCCCATGGAACGAAACCTAAATCTTTTCGATGCTTTGAGAAAACATCAGTAAATTTCATTAGAAGTTCTAATAATTCATTAACTTGATTTTCTTTTAAATCAGGATTCATTCTTTTCTTTAATCGTTCAGATAATTCAGGAACTTCTTCTTTTCTATTTGTTTGGAAATAAACAGAAATTTGATCCAATTCTTTAGTCTCTTCCAATGTCTGAATGAAAAGTTTCGCTCTCGGGTTTTCATTTGCATGAATTAACTTTTCATCATCGACTTTCGGTTTCCTTAAAATACCACTTTCGACTCGTCGACTCAATTCAATTGATTCTTCTGGAGTACAGAATCTGAATAGAAGTTCATTTGAAACTGGGTCACTATCGACATATTCTTGTAGAGAAACTGAATAATTTCCACCGTTGTTTTTAATTGTCGTATAAAACATATCATTGAAACCATTTCCAACCACCATGATTGGTTCTAAGTTTCGGGCTATTTGAAATCTTAGCGCTTTGACTGTACTCATGTCCTTATGTTTCATAAGGGCATAAGCTGCTCCTTCGATATCAAGATAATTGTTAGCAACTATACCTTTTACCGAAACATTTGATCTCATAATGAATGCATCCAATTGTTCAGCTAATCGATAATCAATACAAGCTGTATTTGCTCCAGTGTCGATTAGAACTTCACCACTTCGAACCAACTCACGATTTGGTTTGCAAAGATGCATCATTACCGTTGGAATGTTCACTATTTGTGGGTCCATTTTTGTAATCATCGGTCGACTCGGTTGGTTACAATTCACCATGAACATGAATTCGGATGGATCAGGTACTTTTGTTTCAGCTGAAGTTGAACTCATTAAGTTAGCACTTGTTTTCACTTGAGTTGAACTTTCAGGTTTCGCACTTTCGTTGTTCTTGGGACAATTTCTCGCGTAATGGCCTTCACCATCACATTTATAACAAGTAATTGTTGAATTTGATTGATTGTTACCTCGATTATTTGGTACAGAATTACCTTTACCTTTTCTCTCGTGGACACTTTTTCTTTTCTCTTCCATTTGTATGAAATACTTATGGATAAGTAAACCAAGTAGAGAGTCTAAATCATTAGCTCGTACCTCGATTACCTTTTCGTAGATTTCTTGGTAAGTGTTCCAACACTTCGTAAAGAAAACCTTCTTTAGACATTTTACCTTTACCTTAGTAACACGGTCTCTTAATCGGTCGACAAATTGAGACGGATGTTCATCGAAACTATATACCATAGAGCTTAATTCCGCTTGAGCTGTTGCCAATGCCGTAGGACCACGAAGATAGCTTTCCAAAGCTTGAACATAACTCTCGTAGGTATGCTCTTCCTCATCCAACGTGTCCGCTGCATCCAACAGTTCAAAAGCCAACGCCTTTTTAAGCACTCGTAATCGAGTTTCATCTGAAACATTCTCGTATCGTAATTGCCTTTTCACATTCTTCAGCCAAGACCAAGCATCAGCATTTTGTTTGAACAAAGGGATCACTGGATCCTTGGAACTAACATGATAAACTGGAGGCTGAAAATTGAAATGTTGATTAGGTTCAAACGGTGTTCTTAAAGGTGAACGGGGTGGTGAAGCAACTCTTGGAAGTTCGGCAACCAAAGGTTCCTCTTCTTCACCTTCATTTTCATTTTTATCGATCGTAGGGTCATCATAATCCATTTCCTTTAGGATCATTGAGTCAAGTTTTATCACTTTCTTGGCAGTTGACGTCTTAGGTTGAATCGAAGTCCACTTCTTAATCATTGACCAAATGATTCTCTTCGCTGGATTCGAGACATTTAGCTTTCTAACCGCAGCTTCCGAAGCTAAGCTAATTACCTCTTGCTTAATACCAAGTTTCAAAACTATCTCCTTAATATCCGATTCAGGAATAGATTCCTTTCTCATCTCCTTTACCCACTCTGGAGTAATAATACCATCCAAGATATTAGCACTTAAACTCTCCGCGTTTACAGCACTATAGTTCAATTTACACAATGCCAATTGTCACCACGGCAGTTTAAACAAAATCCTCTCATATGCTCCATTGGGCGATTCCAATCCCAAGCCAACATATATTTAGAAATTTCCTCACTCAAAATATCTTTAACTTTCGGTTCCAAACCGACATCACCAGAGTTAGACATAATCACTTATCTCAAACGGCTATCCTGCCTAGGTCGCCAAGTGAAAGTGTTTAATTTGAATTTATTTAAATGAAAGAATCAATTAAATGTAGAAGATGCACTCAGGTCCTTTCACAATTTTACCTGATTTCGATTCGTATCTTGGATAGTCGTTTGTTGATTATGTCACTAAGGCTAAATCAGACTCACAACACTAATCACAATGAATTACTAGAGTAATTAACAAGACAGAATTTCAGGAACAAGAAAACTGAGACACTTTTATATTTGAACAAGTTGAAGATGAAACTAACTCTGATTGTTACATTTTTTGGGTTCACTATTTATGTGAATTGGAACGGAAAAGGAAACATCTTAAAGAATGTAATTGTTGTTGGGACAACAGATTACTGGTTACATTTAGAAAACAAAATTAATTCACTTGGGACATAATTAAGAAAATATGTGGCTAATTTAAGCCAAACTAATCTAAAAATTACATTTTAGAAAAGAACAAAAATGATAGAAAAGAAGAAGAGAACAAAGAAAGAAAGAGGAAAATCTTTGGGACTTTGTTTAAATTGCAATCTTATTGGTTCCAATTTAAATTCTCTTGACAATTTTGATTAATTGAAGTTAATCATGAGAGAGTCAATTTTTACCTTTCAAGATTATTATCTGATTCACATCATGTGATTCATTTTATAATTGATGATTTATCTCATTGAAACTGTTATTAGAAATAATGAAATTTTTATTACGATGAGACGTGAAACAAAATTGATTGGCAAAGATTTTAATTGCGCTGAGTCTCAATATTTTTCGTATAACAATTTGAACTTATTGTGATTGCTTCAGTGAGTTCGACTACTGTTGAGAGCAAACAAATAAAATTTATTTTTCATTGCAAAATCTTGTCTGATAGATTTATTACTCTAATAGATTAATTTGATCATCAATTAGAAATGGAAGCTGAGAAAAAGATTTATAAAAACAATGTTTCATGAAATTGAATCCGTAAACAATTGATTCTTGAGGTGTATCGTATTTGGGCCAGTCTTCTGGTTCATTTTCACAATCATAATAGATTTTGATGGATCGATTAGATTTGAGACAGAATTTAGATAAGAAATCAGCTGATTTAACAGTAATTCCATTAGATTCCCTAAAATCCAATAGCTTTATCTGTAGCAATAGTTGAACCAATTCTTCCACATGACAATCCGCAACATCTTGAGATCCTCTGATCGCGAGATGGAGTAAATTTGGAAATTTGGTCAACAGTTTTCGGATAGATGACCAATTCATGTAATCTACCAATGGCTTTAGATGAAGAAAATAGATTTAAGAATCAACTCAATTTGAAGAGAAACTCAAGTCATATCTTTTATCCGTGCAAAAACAGATAAAAGAGTAAGCCTCGATCTAAGGAGAAGCTCAAATTCGATACTCACTATTTCAATAACTAAATCTTTTAGATTGTAGTTCTTAATTAAAAGATCAATATGTTGATCATCTGGAGCACAGCAAATTAAAGCACTTTCGAGAGACGGACAAAAATCTAATAAATCGAAATTGTCCTCATTTCCATCCCACCCTGACAAAACCGCTTCAAGAATCTTTAGTTTTGATAAATTTGGACCATTGTAACGCTCATCTCCTGCAGAAATGATTCTTTGATTAATCTAAGATATTAAAGCGACATGAATGATTTACCATAGAGACAAGTGTGGAGCCGCTTTAAATTCGGAAAATATTCAACGTATTCAGGAAGTTTATTTACATGAAGAAGCCCAAAGTAAATTTGTTTCAACTGATCAGGTTGAAAGACTTTTCTGTAATCATCCATATGGTTCATTGAGATCATTTCGATATTTTTCAAATCGACTGCACACTCGTTTCTCAATCCTATCAAACCTTTAATCTTCGGATTATCGGTGATCACTTTTTTGAAATGTCTTGGTTTCAATTGATACCTGTGGAGAAAATCAACCACAGTGACAATCTTAAACCATCACAAGAGTTAGAATAATGTATCAGGATGAAAGATTTTCTATTTGATAATTACCCTGAGATTTGGTAACAATTCTCGTAAATTGTGATGTTTAAGAGTATTTACTGGATCAGTCATCCATATTTTGGAATAGTCAATGTTATCTTCAGGTTTTTCTTGGAAACGATTATAATATTAAAATGTAATCAGAACTAATTAGATGGAAATTTACTTACTAGTGATGAGATATTTGACTCTTTTGAATCTAATGGAAATTAAATTGGACCATTTTGAACAAACTTCAGAAACAAAAAGAATCGAGTTACTTTTCATCAAAATTAAAACTTTTATACTCTTACCTTGAGACAATTTGATCAATTCTTCTAAATCAAAAAAACAGTCGAAGATCAACCAAAGGCAATCATCAGGTAGATCGTTCAACAACATTGGAATAGATTACAAGAAATTAACTGATTGTTTGGGTAAAAGCTTTGAAATTGACAAAACAATCAACAGCGGAAAGTGTTCAAAACAAACCAAGCGCTTCTTTTGAATGTTGTGTCGTTTCCACGAAGTAGTGAGTCGCAAAATAAGGGAAGAAAATTTTTCGACACTTTGACCGTCGAGTATGAAATTATAATCAATCGAACTGTTGTTTCTCTGTCACATTCCCTGGAGGCAAATTTGCGCTTTCTAAGTCATTGTTTAACTATTCGTTTCACTTGATTATCGTCTATCTCGTCGGTGCTTCTCATTGTATTGTTATTAACGGTGGACCATTGATTCTCAAGGAGCTTCGTATAAAATGTATTCAGTTGGTTCGTCATCGTAATCACATGAATAATTATGTGTTCAATGTTTATTAAGTGTTCAAAGTTATCAACAGGCTCATGTTGAAAACAATAAAATCATAAAAATTGCTCCATGATAATAAGATTAACCCTCTTTAAAAGTTTGAACAGGCACCATTGTTTTATTTTGATTTTGACAAGGGATTGATTGAACTTTTTGACTGTTTGATTGTGACTTTTCCTTCTGAGAAAAACATGAATATTAATAATATTATATTATTGTTTGATTAGGTCGATTGTGGTCTTAAGAGAACAAGGTTACTAACACTTGTTAATAGTTCGTCCATTTACAAGAGTAAATTGAACTTTTGGACAATCAACTGACCAGTTGTAAGATTAATCATACTTTATTTTGTCGATAAAATAAATTTTATTTTGAGCAATGATCTTGTCTAATGAATTTATTACAGAAACATGAGATTTGAAATTTGCGTGGTTTATTCATCAAATAGAAATGGGAGGTAGGGGAAAGACTTATAAAAACAATGTTTCATGAAATTGAATCCGTAAACAATTGATTCTTGAGGTGTATCGTATTTGGGCCAGTCATCTGGTTCATTTTCACAATCATAATAGATTTTGATGGATCGATCAGATTTGAGACAGAATTTAGATAAGAAATCAGCTGATTTAACAGTAATTCCATTAGATTCCCTAAAATCCAATAGCTTTATCTGTGGCAATAGTTGAACCAATTCTTCCACATGACAATCCGCAACATCTTGAGATCCTCTGATCGCGAGATGGAGTAAATTTGGAAATTTGGTCAACAGTTTTCGGATAGATGACCAATTCATGTAATCTACCAATGGCTTTAGATGAAGAAAATAGATATAAGAATCAACTCAATTTAAAGATAAACTTTAATTCGATACTCACTATGTCAATCACCAAATCTCTTAGATTGTAGTTCTTTATGGAAATGTCAATTCTTTGCTCATATGTAGTACCACAAATAAAAGCGCTTTCCAAAGACGGACAATAATCTATCACGTTGAATTTGTCACAAGCCTGACCGAATCCTGATACATAAGCTTCAAGAATCTTCAGCTTTGATAAATTTGGACCATTGTAACGCTCATCTCCTGTAGAAATGATTCTTTGATTAATCTAACAATCTTGAAAGATATTAAATCGACATGAATGATTTACCAAGGAGACAAACATGGAGTCGCTGCAAATTCGGAAAGTATTCAACGTATTCAGGAAGATTATGTACATGAAGCCCTTTTAATTGAATTTGTTTCAACTGATCAGAGCGAAAAACTTTCTTGAAGTTAACCATATGGCTCATTGCCATCATTTCGACGTGTCTCAAATTGAGCTTACACTTGTTCTGTAATCCAATGACTCCTTTGATTTTCGGATTATTGTTGATCACTTTTCTGAAATGTCTTGGCTTCAATTTATAGTTGTCGAACTCATCAACTACAGTGACGATCTGAAATCATTAAAAAGAATATAAATCAATGTCCGTTGTTCATTTTCTATTCGATAATTACCCTGAGATTTGGTAACAATTCTGGTAAATTGTGATGTTTAAGAGTATTTACTGGATCAGTCATCCATATTTTGGAATAGTCAATGTTATCTTCAGGTTTTTCTTGGAAACAATTTATAAATCATGAAAGTTAGTCAGAACTATTTACATGTAAATCAACTTACTGGTGTCGAGATATTTGACTCTTTTGAGTCTAATGGAAATTAAATTGGACCATTTCGAACAAACTTTAGAAACAAAAAGAATCGAGTTACTTTTCATCAAAATTAAAACTTTTATACTCTTACCTTGAGACAATTTGATCAATTCTTCTAAATCAAAAAAATAGTCGAAGATCAACCAAAGGCAATCAACAGGTAGATCGTTTAACAACATAATTATAAGCCGCTCAACAGGTATAAGCAATTGATTAACAGAAACAAGCAGAAATTGAGAATTACTAATTGTTAACTAATAAAACTTTTATTAAATTGAACCCAACTTTGTGTCTTAGACGCAGAGGTACAGCTGAAAGACCTAAAGCGCTTTTTTGAATAGTTCAAAAAACTGTTCGAATTGAACAAAAGTTACCGGAGGCCATATCCTCCGAACGATAATATGATACGATTGGATATAATTGAGAACTGAATTCAACAAGTATCTCTATAGTCTAAAAAACTCATTCATACAAGAATTGTTCAAAAAAAACTTTTATTTGGGTATTATCATAAATTTTATTCATCAATTACGTTCGGAAGGGAGCTAAAAGATTTATAAAAACAATGTTTCATGAAATTGAATCCATAGACAATTGATTCTCGAGGAGTATCGTATTTGGGCCAGTCGTCCGGTTCCTTTTCACAATCATAATAGATTTTGATTGATCGCTTGGATTCAAGACAGAATTTAGACAAGAAATCAGCTGATTTTCCAGTAACATTTTCACAACTTCTCAAGTCTAATAGTTTTATCTCTGGTAATAATCGAACCAATTTTTCTACATGATTATTCCCAATACCTTCACTTTTTCTGATAGCAAGATTTTGTAAATTTGGATATTTGGACAACAGTTTTCGCAAGTGTGACCAAGTGAAATTAGGAAATTCTCTCATTGGCTTCGGATGAATAAAGAAAAACTATTTTTACTAATCAAAACAAAACTGAGATTTAATACTCACCAGATCAATAACCAAATCCTTCAGATTATAGTTCCTTTTAGCTTCATCAGTATTAACATTTCCTATTGGAAGTCTCATAAAAGCGCTCGTAAGATACGGACAAGAGTCCATCAAACGAAATCCGTTATAAGTACCATACGCTTGATATGAATTAAGTTCAAGAATCTTGAGATTGGTAAATTCTGGGCCATAGTAATCTACTTCTCCTCCTAAAAAACATAATTCTTTCATTAATCTAGAAAATAAGTCGAATTTAGAAATTTTACCACAAAACGAAATATTGAGTCGTTTCAAATTTGGAAAATATTCAGCGCATTTAGGAAGCTCGTCAATGGAAGCATCGTACAAGTGGATTTGTTTCAACTGATCAGGTCGAAAGATTTTTTTGTAATCAAAATCCAGAGATTTCATCGAAATCATTTCGATATTCTCCAAGTTGTGCCCATTGAATGAATCAGAATCGCGACTATTGATTCGAATTAATCCTTTTATTTTCGGATTATCATTCACCACTTTTCTGACATCGACCGCGTGAGACGCCTGTCCAACGGAAACAAAAGGGAAATTGACAATCTAAAACCATCGAAAAGAATTATAATCAATTTAGTTATCGAGCATTAAACAAATACAGTCACACACTTATTTTGTGAAGATTCTTCATTGCCATCTAATCTCCTCACTTTTGTCAAACATGCAAAATAAGTGTGTGACTTACTGTAGATTAAATTTCTAATTGTTATCATTTAGATATAATTACCCTGAGATTTGGTAAAAGCTCTTGAAGATTGTAATCAGACAAAGTATTTGGATTCTCCATCCATATTTTGGAATAATCGTGTTTATGAACATCGAACCCTTGAAATCGATGGAACTGTGAAAATTAATCTAAAAAATCAAGAATCGACTAAAAATTTACTCACAATTTACCAGATATTTAACTTTTTTGAGTCGTATGGAAATCAAATTGGACCATTTTGAACAAACTAAAGAATAAGAAAAAGAAGAAAAAAGATTTCAAATTTCAGTAAATTTCCTCTAAGATTCAAACTCTTATACTTTTACCTTTAGACAATTGAATCAACTCTTCTAATTTGAAAAATTTGTCAAAGATCAACCAGAGACAATCATCAGGTAAATCGTTTAATAACATAACTATAATTCACTAAATGGGTAAAGTGAAAAAAACGAAGTCACTAAATTGAAGTTTTGAATATGAAACTTTCGATACTAAGTTTTGTATAACACAAGGCGGTAAAAAAGTTTGTTTCACATGTGAGGTTTAGGATACGAGCGCTCGATTCAAAAATCGAAATCAAACTAAAATGTCAACAAATTCACTTATCATTACAACTCTGAGGGAGAGAAATTTTCGTACCATATTTTTGTCATGACAAAAGAAAATTTATTCCTTAATTATTATCCTTAAATTATTTCATCTCTGATAATAATCTCACCAGTTCTTTTGAATGATTATCCTCAAACTTTTCGACAAAACCAGTAATCGCAAGGTTATGTGAAATAGGAAATTAGGACAGTCGATTTCCGAAAGATTGAATTGACCATTGAATGAATTAGTGTGATTATGAATCTCAATTGCTGATGAATATCTGTGCCTTGAAATAGATTAAGACGCTGAAAATAACTAATGATTTCGAACTGTTTTTTGATACAATCAAACTGTTCAAAAGAAGCGGTTGATTTAATTTAAACCCTTTCACTTTTCCTTCAGGAGCCACAAACCGAGTGATGAGGCACATGTTTAAGGTTATTCCTAATTTAAAATTATTAATTTTTATTTCATTGGCGATTTTTATTTTAACTGTTCAGTGAATTATATGTAATTATGCTATTGAACGATTTGATTGATGATTGTCTCTGGTTGATCTTCGACAACTTCTTCGAATTAGAAGAGCTGATTCAATTGTCTAAAGGTAAAAGCTTAAAAGTTCAACTGTGGATAATTAATAAATTGTAGTATTAATTCAATACTAAATTTCAATTGTTTTTGTTTCTTTAGTCTGTTCAAAATGGTCCAATTTGATTGATCTAAGATTCAAGAAAGTTAAATATCTTCTCAACAGTAAGTAAAATTCACATTTAAATTATTGTGTCAGAAATTCTTAACCGATTCTATCGACTTCTAGGAGTGACAATTAAACATTTAGATCATTCAAAAGTATGGATGGAGGATCCAGAAACTATCGAAGTTTATGATTTAAGGGAATTGTTACCAAATCTCAGGGTAGATATTAAATAGAAATGGTTTACTAGTAGTTTATTAATTTTGTTCGTTTTAATGGCTCAAGGCCATTGATCTCTTTCCTTACGTTGGTGATAAACCATGGATATCATCAAATTATAGACCAATGGTTGACAATAATCCGAAAATAAAAGGACTGGTTGATCTAACTGATGGTTATAATCTCAATTTGGAAAATATCGAGATGGTCGCAATGGATAATAAAATGATGGAGTATAAAAAACTCTTTTGTCCTGATCAGTTGAAACAAATTTACTTTGATTGCGCTTTTGATCTAAATGATCTGAATGAACTCGTCGAATACTTTCCGAATTTAAAGAGAATCAACGTTAAGTTCTGTGGTAAATTACACGTGTACTTTTTGATTAATTATCTAAATTAATTGAAGAATTATTCTTAAAGGGAAACCAGTTCGTTATGATGGTCCAAATTTATTCAATCTGAAGATCTTTGAGTCTACTGTAGATGGGCAGTTTGGTACCTGTAATGCAATTCATGTGATGGACTTTTGTCCATCTTTGGAAAGTGCTTACATTTGTGACCAATCAGATGATGAATTTACCAACATGGCTCGAAAGAACTACAATTTAAGGGATTTGGTAATTGTAAATACAGTATGTATCTAATTTATTCTAAAGTAAATTGTGTTAAGGATATGACAATTGAATTAATTTTCTAGTTCGTATCACTCTTTGCGTATGATAATTCACCATTCAATCCATTCTACAACAGCCTTCATATATGAATTTCATTTAAATCAATTTTCATCATAGCCATCGACAGACAACTTAACATGGCCATTCTTACGAAAACTGTTTTCCAAGTATCCAAATTTACATAATCTTGCGATCGACGGAGGTTATAAAATGGATGATAGTCGTGTTACAGAATTGGTAAAATTATTACCAATGATAAAGCTGATGGACTTCAGAGGATCCAAAAGTTACTGTTAAATCAGCTGATTTTTATCTAAATTCTGTCTTGAGTCTAATCGATCCATAAAAATCTATTATGATTGTGAAAAGGAACCAAATGACTGGCCTAAATACGATAATCCTCGAGAATCAATTGTCTACGGATTCGATTTTATGAAGCATTGTTTTTATAGACCTTTTGATGATCTTCCGCGCCTAATTGATGAATGAACTCTAAAGCTTCAATAAATCATGCTACAGTCAAATCACTTGGAAGGGAACACAAAATCATTAATTTGAAACAGAAAGCATTTTATTGAAACTGATCTGCTTAAAGTCAACTCTTCTAATCCGTTCAAGTCAAAATATCGAAACACAATTCATTTTTCTGAAAACAGAATTCATTTTTATCGGAACACTAAAGGCTATTTCTATCTCAGGACCAGTCCTACACTTTAAATGGATTCGAAGCACTTTGGCCTTAGGATGATAAACATGCTTATTTCGATAGTTGTTTCGATAAAAATGACTTGTGTTCCGAGAAAAATGAATTCTGTTTCGATATTTTGAGCAAAAAAGATTAAGCGTCTTAACCTAAAACGGATTAGTTTCAATAAAATGCTTTGTGTTTCGAATTGTTGATTTTTTGTTCCCTTCCAAGTGATTTGACTGTACATCGATAACCAGTCAATACGATTTAATTTTTATATTTTTTCGCAAGAAACGTGTGTTTATCTCTTACTTGGGTCGAGGAACATCCAAAGACACCCTTTGAGCGAAGCATTCAATAGTAGAATAACAATCAAGGTAAAAATCAAAAACGAAGACTCAAAATTACAACGGTAACATACACTTTCATGGTCAAAATTTCCACTTCGCCAATTCTAATCGATTGGATTCAAGGCTGATAAGAAATCAACTGATTTCTCAGTGACTTTTTCCGGATCTTCTGTAGTTCAACAGTTTTATTTCTGGTAGAATTGCTACCAATTATTTTATTCGATCATCGTTTATTTCGTCACTTCCTCTAATCGCAAGATTATTTAAATTTTGATAACAGTTTTCGTAAGAATGGCTGTAATGCATTCGGCAAGTGCCTTGAAATAAAAAACAGATAAAAATGATTCTGATTGCAAAAGAATCTCGATACTCACGTAATGTTTTGTAATCACCAAATCTCTTAAATAGTAGTTCTTTAGATAGATATTAGCATAGCGATCACCATTTGAACAACTCATAAAAGCGTTTTCCAAAGATGTACAAAAGTTCATCAAATGAAATCCGTAAACGCAAATTCCATTGGTCTGAAGCAAATTCAAGAATCTTGAGATTGCATAGATTTGGACCAACATTAAGAACTTTGTTACTCTTTAAAAATAGTTTTGTATTAATCTAGATCACTTATTCAGCATCAATAATTTACCATAGAACATGAAGCTGAGTCGCTCTAAATTCGGAAAAATGTTCAATGTATTCAGGAAGATATTGAAAAAAACTTCCCTTTAAAGTGAATTACTAAGTGCTAAGTATAATACAGCCAAAGACTAAGTTCGCAACCACTTTTTGAATCACTCACGCAGTTAACGATAATCAAGTAAAGATAACTTTTGATATCTAATCAGTTGACCTTTTTAAGACCACATCACTTGAATTAGTCGACAAACTTATTATCATATCTCTGGATTAACTTTATCTCATTGATTATATTCAACTGCGTGAAGTATTTAAAAGTGGTTGCCAACTTTAAGTCTTTGACTGTACAATTAAATTAAAATATCTTAATTAAAAGTATTTACATTTCCTATTAAAAGTCGCAAGAAATCTAATTGACAAACAACTTTTCTTGAAGCGATGGTCAATGAGCGACCACGTGAGACGCCACCCACGGAGTGACTAGCTTATTACTCTTTGGCGAAAAAAGTCAGCTGAGAGTGTAAATTGTGAGCTACCGGACTTATCTTGGGCCTTATCCAAAAGTAAAGTATCACCACAACACTATTTTAATTGTTCAGTGAATTATAAATATGTTATTAAACGATTTACCTGATGATTGTCTCTGGTTGATCTTCGACAACTTCTTCAGATTAGAAGAGTTGATCGAATTGTCTAAAGGTAAAAGTTTGAAAGTTCAACTGTTGATAATAAATACTAAATTTCACTTGTTTTTGTTTCTAAAGTTTGTTCAAAATGGTCCAATTTGATTGATATAAGATTGAAAAAAGTTAAATATCTTCTCATCGGTAAGTACAATTGTAATTACAACTATTATATCAGTAATTTTCTAACCTAATCTGTTAAACTGATTCTATCGACTCATAGAATGGAAAGTTACTCATTTGGATTATTCAAAAGTATGGATGGAGGATCCAGAAACTTTCGAAGTTTATAATTTAAGGGAATTGTTACCAAATCTCAGGGTAGATATTAAATAGAAATGGTTTACTAGTAGTTTATTAATTTTGTTCATTTTAATGGTTCAAGGCTCTTGATCTCTTTCCTTACGCTGACGATAGACCATGGAGATCATCAAATTATGGACCAATTGTTGACAATAATCCGAAAATAAAAGGACTGGTTGGAATAGATTCTAAATATATCATCGATTTGAAAATGATCAGTATGGTCTCAATAGATCAATTTTATTATGAGCAAGAGTATAAAAAACTCTTTCGCCCTAATCAGTTGAAACAAATTCGTTATAATGAAGATTTCCTGCTGAAAGATCTTTCTGAACTCGTCAAATACTTCCCTGATTTGAAGCGACTCAACATTTGGCTTGAAGGTAAATTATTGCTGTTCGATTAATGATCTACATTAACTGAAGAATTATTTTTAAAGGGCAAAAAGATCGTTATAATGGTCCAAATTTATCCAATCTGAAGATCTTTGAGTTTTCTGGATGCTGGGATTCTTTCTGTCCCGCATTTCATGTGATGGACTTTTGTCCATCTTTGGAAAGTGCTTACATTCAGGGACAATCAGATGATGAGTTTACCAACATGGCACGGAAGAACTACAATCTAAGGGATTTAGTAATTGAAACAGTGAGTATCAAATTCAAATTTATCCTATTAATAAGTCTATTATTTCATCTTGCATATCACCATTTGAACAAAATGTTGATCGCTATACTGATATCTCTCTAAGGAACTACAACCTAAGAGATTTGGTGATTAAAAACAATACGTGAGTATCAAGGTTCTCTTAGAATATGAATAATCTTCTTTCTGTTTTTTATTTAAAGGTAGGGAGTGAACTCATGACAAACTACATATCATGGCCATTTTTACGAAGACTGTTGTCCAAATATCCAAATTTGCATAATCTTGCGATTAGAGGAAGTGGCGAAATAAATGATAGTCGTCTTGAAGAGTTGGTTGCGATTCTACCAGAAATAAAACTTTGGACTTCAGAAGATCCAAAGGAGTGACTTCAAAATCAGCTGATTTCTTGTCTAAATTCTGTCTCAAATATGATCGATCAATCAAAATTTATTATGATTGTAAAAAGCAACAAACTGACTGGCCTAAATTAGACTCGCATCGAGAATCAATTGTCTACGGATTCGATTTCATGGAACATTGTTTTTATAAAACTTTTTTCGCTCTTCCAGATCTAATTGATGAATGAACTCTAATGCTACAGGCTCATTTTACATTGATACTTAGTATCACGTGATTTAATTATTGTATCATCTTTTATAATTTAGCAAGGGAAAAAATCACAATAAACACTTATATGACCTTATATACTGTCGCAAATCTAATGGATCAATTCGAAGCTTTTATGATTGGGGTCAGACCTCAATTGAGTGGCCTGAATACGATACTCCTCGTGAATCAATTTTCTTCGGAGCTTCTTACGAATAAATTGTCTACTAATTCGATCTTATGAAACATTGTTTTTATAAGTCTTTTTCCCGGCTTCCATTTCTAATTGATGAATAAACCACGAAAACCACCAATTTTTCAAATCTTATGAGCATTGTTTCGATGAAAGTTTTCCCAATCTTCCGGACCTAATCGATGAATAAAATCACTTACATTTTATTGTATCATGACAGTGACCTAATTGATGAATAAATTTTAAAGCTTCTAATTCATTTTACATTGATAATAAGTTGAATGTGAATAAGAATACGAGTTAATTATTTGATCATCTTCTATTTGTTGCCCATGTTTCTAGGTATCATGAATGTGTATTTGAGTTTTTTAAAATTAATTCAACATCAATAACTTACCACCAAACGAAATATTGAGTCACTTCAAGTTTGGAAAGTATTACAATACATTCAATATATTTATAAAGAAGTTGAATCTCAAAGTTATTGTAACTAATCTGTTTCATCTTAGAAGATTGGAAGACTTTTATATCGGATAGATTATTGCACTCTTTTCGAGTTTTTCAAATTCAGTTTACACCAATCTTTGCCATGATCAATTCAATCACCATTTTCCATCTCGAAAAATGAGTCAAAACTGATTTATGATTAAATGAAAATTTACTTACTGTTAGCAATGTATTTAACTTTTTTCAATCTTACAGAAATTAACTTGGACCATTTTAAGCAAACTATAGAACCGAAAAGAAATGAAGTTGCTTTTTGCTACTATTAAAACTCCAATACTATGTTACCTTCAGATAATTGAATCAACTATTCAAGCTCATTGACTTGATTGAAAACAGGAATACATACGAGCTGGAAGGGTTAAGTCGATCAAATCGCTTCTTCCATGGAAGAATATTAATATTATTTGATATAATAAAATGTAGATGCTTTTATTCATCAATTAGGTCCGGAAGATTGGAAAAACTCTTATAAAAACAATGTTTCATGAAATCGAATCCGTAGACGATTGATTCTCGAGGAGTATCGTATTTTGGCCAATCATCTGGTTCCTTTTCACAGTTATAATAGATTTTGATTGATCGATTAGATTCAGCACAATATTTAGATAAGAAATCCGCTGATTTACGCGTGATTCTTCTGAGTTTTCTGAAGTCAAATAGTTTTATTTCTGGTAGAATCTTTACCAATTCCTTAATACGATCATCATTTGTTTCGTTACCATATATAGTACTATAAAAACAAGGGCCTCTAATCGCAAGATGATGTAAATTAGGAAATTTGGACAACAGCGCACGTACAAAACGCCAGTTCAGCTGTTCATCCCGTGACTGTAGCAAGAAAAAGAAGAGTAAAAATAATTTTTAAAAATTACTCAGATTCAAAGAAAAATATAAAGCGAATACTCACTATTTCAATAACCAAATCTCTCAAATTGTAGTTCTTTATGGACGAATCAACGCGCTCATATGGTACCGCAATTTTGATGAAAGCGCTTTCTAAAGATGGACAAAAGTCCAACAGATAAAATTCATCAAGATCTCCATCCCATCCGTATAAATAAGATTCCAGAATCTTCAAATTGGACAATTGCGGACCATAGTACCCGATACGTTCTATTATTTAAGAAATAGTTGCTTTCTTCATTCTAGATTATTAACATCAATAACTTACCGCAGCAATTGAAGTTGAGTCGCTTCAAATTTGGAAAGTATTGGACGTATTTATGAAGCTTTCGCATGCAGGTACCTGTTGAAAAAATCGAATTTGTTTCAACTGATCAGGTTGAAACTTGTGTTTATAGTCGAACATAGCATTATCCATTGTGACCATCTCGACATTTTTCAAATCTAGTAGATCATCAATTTTCAATCCAACCAAACCTTTGATATTTGAATTACAGTTTACCAATGCTCTAATCTTATTTTGATCCCTGGGACCGAGACATGGAATAGTTAAAATCTAAACTCATTGCAGCAAATAAAAGTAGATCAACTGTTAGTAAATATGAGCAATTTTCTATTTGATAATTACCCTGAGATTTGATAGCAATTCCCGTAAATTGTAGCGTGCAACAGTAGTTGGTTTCTTTACCCAAATTTTGGTATAATCAAAATGATCAAGAGGCCGCACTTGAAATCGATAAAAAGGTTAGCAAAATACGAGCAATAATCGAAATGCAAATTTACTTACCCCTGACCAGATATTTTACTTTTTCGAGTCGCATGGAAATTAAGTTGGACCATTTTGAACAAACTAACAAAAACAGAATTTGAATTTCAGATCATTTCTTATACAATGTAAAGTTTACATTGTAAACTATTATTCTCTTACCTTGAGACAACTGGATCAACTCTTCTAATGAACAAGAATTGCCGAAGATCAACCAAAGACAGTTCTCCGGTAAATCGTTTAATGACATTATTTTAATTAGGAACAATTTCTCATGTAATTAAAATTTTAGATTCATCTGAACAGTACTGAGATGTTCACACTTACACTGTAAGTCTTACAGCAACTTTAAACAACCGTTACCGTTAGTTGAAGGATTTAAATTCAGTCAACCGCTTCTTTTGAATAGTTTCAAAAGACAATTCAAAAGTTTTGAATAGAAATCAACGGTTGTTAGCATAATTAAAAAATAACTTATTTTTTAATGTCTCTTATTTTAAATAAGAGACATTACAATAATTAAATGATATTAGCATTCTACTCATTATCAGTGTGAAATGATTAACTAATGGTAGCTTGAGAGTTTATTCATCAATTAGATCCGGAAGATCACAAAAATATTTATAAAAACAATGCTTCATGAAATCTAATCCTAATGAAATTTGGACAAAAGATCGCAAAAGAGCGACCAGTTCAGCCTTTCTCCCCATGACTTTAGAAAGAAAAGGAAGAATAAAAATTAATTTAGATTCAAAGAAAATCACCAATTCGATACTCACCATTTTAGTTCAGTTCTCTGTAATCAAATTCGAGGGATTTCACCGAAATCATTTCGATATTTTCCAAGTTGAGCAAATGGAACAAATCAGAATTAAGACTATAGAGTCTAATCAATCCTTTAATCTTCGGATTATCATCAACCAATTTTTTTACATCTTCAAATTCCAACTCATCACCAAATAAAACAGCAGGAATACTGAGAATCTAAACTCACCACAAAGAGTACGAACATTAGATTAATAAATATTATATTGACATAAAAATCTTATACTTGATAATTACCCTGAGATTTGGTAACAATTCTCGTAAATTATGATCTTTAATAGTTTTTGGATCGTTCATCAATATCTTGGTATGATCGAAACGATCATCATTGGACTCTTTAGAACAGAATTGGCGAAATTAATCAAAAGTAATTACATGTATATAAGAATTTACTTACTAATTACAAATATTTAATCTTTCCGAATCTCAAGGATATTAAACTGGACCATTTCGAACAAACTTTAAAAAACAAAAAGAATAAAATTTAAGTCACTTCTCTTTACCATTTAAACTCTTATACTTTTATCTTTCGAAAGTTTGATCAACTCTTCTAGTTCGAAGATTTTATCTAAGATCATGCAAAGACATTCATTAGGTAAATCGTTGAATGACATAATTATAATTCAACGAACAGGTAAAATTAAAAAACGAATCGGATTCTCGTAATTTGAACATTAGAAATAATTAACTTGTCATTTCCAAAGGATAGGAAATTTGGACAAAAGTCTTCGAAGTGATGGCCACGAAAAAAAAACCAGACTTAATCGAAAGAATAGAAGAAAAAATAGTTAATAATCTAATAAGTATTTTTCACCCATTGACTTACAGTTGAGATAACCAAATCTCTTAGATTGTAATTCTTTATCGATTCATCAACATGAATAACCTCTGCACAACAATGTATGAAAGCACTTTCCAAGGATGGACAAAAATCCATGAAATGGAATCCAGTGAATTGTTCAACGAAATCGTGTGTGCCAAGTTCAAGAATCTTTAACGAAGACAAATATGGTCCATTGTAAAAAACGTCAGGCTCGTAGTGATGCCCTGAAAAGATATCAATCATATGATACAATCGGAAGACTATTTCAAGTTGAAACTCACTGTCAGCAAGTTCTATGTTAACTCGCTTCAAATTCGGAAAATATTCAATCAATGAAGGAAGATCCTTCATTTGAAACAAGTAGCAGCGAATTTGTTTCAACTGATCAGGGCGAAAAACTTCTTTATAATTGAATTTGTTCTGAAACACTGCAGCGCACATTTCGATATTTTCCAAATAGCCACATCCACTCAGCTCTGCATTGCCAATTAATCCCTTTACTTGCGGATTATCTTTGAGAATTCTCGGTAAATCACCAAAGCGATAAGAATTTAAAATCCAAACTTCTATCATAAAGTTAAAAAATACAATGTAATTAGAAAGCAACGTTCTTTTGATCTAAAAAGTTCGTTAATTACCTTCAGATTTGGAAACAATTCCATTAAATTGTAACCTCTCCAATCTGTTTTAAAATTCATCCAGCAAATGTTCTTGTCGATATAATCACGTTTTTTATCTTCGAATTAAAAAATTGGCAATGGATTAAATATAATCGCTAATGGGTTAAGTAGAAATTAACTTACTCGTCATTACGTGGAGATATTTTACTCCATTAAATTTCGGCGCAATCAAATCGGACCATCTCGAACAAACTTTAGAACCAAGTGAAAGTAAATAAGCATTAGAATTTCATCATCTAAACTGAATATTTATCTTACCTTTAGACAAACGAATCAATTGTTTAACTCCATGGAAATTTCCTAAGATTTTCCAAAGACAATTATCAGGCAAATCGTTAAATGACATGATAGTATTTACTTTTTAGTCGAAACTTAACTTGAAGAAATGAAGAAGCACAAATTTAATTTGAAATGAGAAATTCCTGGAAAAACAGCTGATTAATTACTAAGAACAAGCGGTTCTTTTTGAATATGACAAAAGGAGCATTTTAACTGCATCTGAGTATCCTTCTTGAAAATTCCAAGCAGCAAATAAGTTGTTTTGTCCATACACATGTAACATCCATGTGACTCTTCATCATCAAAGTTATGAAGTAATTGCTCAATGGCTGATTGTCTCAAAATAATAGCATAGAAATAACAAACATAGAATATGATTGAGTAGATAATAAAACGGAGTAGACCATTTCGGTTAGGTTTAGTTCGGTCACTTAGAATACAGTCCCTTATTGATTCTCATAACTTAAGTCCATCTCCAACCATCTAAAATCTTATATAAAAATTCATCATTAATAGAATACAGAATAAGAAATTAAATGAAACCGAAATCTTCATGAAAAGTGAAGGTCTAAAAAAGTAACTTCGAGAGCACCTGATTTCTTGTCTGAATATTATCGCAAATCTCGTAGATTATATGAAATCTATTACAATCGCGAAAAAGGACCAATTGAATAGCCTAAAGTAGATACTTTCTTGGCATTCAATTTGCTATGGACTCATTTTCATGAAGAACTGTTTCTACCAAAACTCACACAGTCTTTCAGCTCTTATTGGTGAAGAATCGTTGCACAATCTATAAGTGTACAACGGTTTGCCTTCAGGGAATATGATCAAAAACATAACTGCTTAATTGGTTCAATTGCGAAAAAGTAGCATCTTTGACGACCATTTCAACAGGTAACTTGGTTGTGGATTGATGATTTATCTAGTTATTTTATTCTTGATTGCTGAATATGGAATTTTCTTAAAAAAAAGTTATTTTCTCTTTTTGATTAATTATGTGAACGTAACCATAACATTCACCTTTTAGCATCTTAACGATTATAAATCGTTGATGATTAGATTACAAAATTGGTGAATTAATGATGAATCCATGAGACAAGATTAAGATTATTGCTCAAAATAAACTTTATTTGTTTATCACCATAAAAGTTCAACTCATTTAGTAACTTAAACTGATCAACTGATCAAATCCTATGATGTACACACGATGTGCACACTTTTACATATGAACATCAACGTAGTGATGGGCGATATTATCGGTATCGATAAATATCATCGATATTTTTGTGTCGATTTATCATCGATATAAAAAAAGAATATTGATAAATATTTCTCTTTCTTTTTTCTCTTTCTTTTCAACACATGAGATTTTTTCAGATTTTTCGCCGATTTTTTCCTCAGCTTTTTCTCTTTCTCTTACATTAATTACTGTCTTTTTCTCTGTCGCTAAAAAATCGATTTTTTCGATGATAAAAATCTAAATATCGTTATCGTCGATGATAATTTTTTCAAATATCGCCCATCACTACATCAACGAAATATTAACAAGATTATAAGTTATTTAGGCGGAGGGGGAGGTTACAATTTCTCCTGATGAGGCAGCTGAAGCGGCAACTTCGTCAGCCTTGTCTAATTCAGCGGTAGCGGCTTTGACGGCTTCGATCTTTTGTGCGGGTGGAAGTTTGTCAGCACCGTTAACCTTTTCCATGGCTCCTTGGATTTTGCCCTTTTGTTCTCGGATCTTTTTGTTATCTTCTCCTCGGAATTCGTCTAACATGTCATCGAATCGGTTTCGGAGGGCATCAAATCGTTGAGTCATGGTGTTCTTAAGACCGGACCAGTTAATTCCAAAAAGAGATCGAGACTTGGCTGCTGAAACTTCACTAACAACTTGGTTCTCAACGTTGTCAACTGAGGTGAGAATTTGGCTAACGGCTTCAGCTGATTCAGTGGCATCAAGTCGATCCTTAAGAGCCTTCAAGGTCTTGAGAGCATTGTCGAGGATCAATTGTCGAACTTCGTCTAATTTACCCTTGTTCTTTTCGATGTATGATTCCAAAGAATCAGTGACGGCGTCAACTCGATCAGAGACGATTCCTTGGAGACCAGGAAGGTTCTTCATGAGAGCATCAGCTCCATCTTCGAGAAGATCTTCAGCAGATTCTTGGAGTTGCTTAAGTCCATTCATGAAAGATTCTTTAGCTTCGGCGATTTGTTGTTGAAGAGCTGAGCCGAAGAATTTTCCAAATTGAGCCTTGGCATCGTTGAAGGCTGATTGAGCGTTAGCCACTAAGTCGTTTAAGACATTTCGCTTTTCAACGGATCGAGCTTCGATAGCGACGACTAAACAAGAGAAACAAGAAAATAATCATTAGAATAATCAACTAATTGTTCACACAATTAGAGTGGATTAATAGTCTAATACTTACATCCAGCGACGAGGAGAACGGCAAGAGTAAGTCCAAAGAATTTCATTTTGATTTTTTTTATATTTTCTGATTAAAGACAATTAATCTGATGAGAATTAAATGTAAATCAGTCTCCTTTTATACTAGAAAATTCAATCAAAGTTTGATTCATTTGGTGTTACAATTAGTAAATCATTTTAATCTCACCTGTTCAATTGACTGTTTCAATAATTACATTGTCATCTACCAATCAAATTTTATCCTTTGTCTTCGTCTAATTTAGATTGACATCTAATTGTTTCTTTCTCATAGCTTGTCCAATTTAACCCAACTTTGTGTCTTAGACGCGAAGTTACAGCTGAAAGACCTAAAGCGCTTTTTTTGAATAGTTCAAAAAACTTTTCGAATTGAACAAAAGTTACCGGAGGCCATATCCTCCGAACGATAATATGATACGATTGGATATAATTGAGAACTGCATTCAACAAGTATCTCTATAGTCTAAAAAACTCATTCATACAAGAATTGTACAATTGTAGAAAAAAAAACTTTTATTTGGGGATTATCATAAATTTTATTCATCAATTACGTTCGGAAGGGAGCTAAAAGATTTATAAAAACAATGTTTCATGAAATTGAATCCATAGACAATTGATTCTCGAGGAGTATCGTATTTGGGCCAGTCGTCCGGTTCCTTTTCACAATCATAATAGATTTTGATTGATCGATTGGATTTAAGACAGAATTTAGACAAGAAATCAGCTGATTTTCCAGTAACATTTTCACAACTTCTCAAGTCTAATAGTTTTATCTCTGATAATAATCGAACCAATTTTTCTACATGATTATCCCCAATACCTTCACTTTTCTGATAGCAAGATTTTGTAAATTTGGATATTTGGACAACAGTTTTCTAAAGTGTGACCAAGTGAAATTAGGAAATTCTCTCATTGGCTTCGGATGAATAAAGAAAAACTATTTTTACTAATCAAAACAAAACTGAGATTTAATACTCACCAGATCAATAACCAAATCCTTCAGATTATAGTTCCTTTTAGCTTCATCAGTATTAACATTTCCTATTGGAAGTCTCATAAAAGCGCTCGTAAGATAAGGACAAGAGTCCATCAAACGAACTCCGTTATAAGTACCATACTCTTGATATGAATTAAGTTCAAGAATCTTGAGATTGGTAAATTCTGGGCCAGTAATCTACTTCTCCTCTTAAAAAACATAATTCTTTCATTAATCTAGAAAATTAGTCGAATTTAGAAATTTTACCACAAAACGAAATATTGAGTCGCTTCAAATTTGGAAAATATTCAGCGCATTTAGGAAGCTCGTCAATGGAAGCATCGTACAAGTGGATTTGTTTCAACTGATCAGGTCGAAAGATTTTTTTGTAATCAAAATCCAGAGATTTCATCGAAATCATTTCGATATTCTCCAAGTTGTGCCCATTGAATGAATCAGAATCGCGACTATTGATTCGAATTAATCCTTTTATTTTCGGATTATCATTCACCACTTTTCTGACATCGACCGCGTGAGACGCCTGTCCAACGGAAACAAAAGGGAAATTGACAATCTAAAACCATCGAAAAGAATTATAATCAATTTAGTTATCGAGCATTAAACAAATACAGTCACACACTTATTTTGTGAAGATTCTTCATTGCCATCTAATCTCCTCACTTTTGTCAAACATGCAAAATAAGTGTGTGACTTACTGTAGATTAAATTTCTAATTGTTATCATTTAGATATAATTACCCTGAGATTTGGTAAAAGCTCTTGAAGATTGTAATCAGACAAAGTATTTGGATTCTCCATCCATATTTTGGAATAATCGTGTTTATGAACATCGAACCCTTGAAATCGATGGAACTGTGAAAATTAATCTAAAAAATCAAGAATCGACTAAAAATTTACTCACAATTTACCAGATATTTAACTTTTTTGAGTCGTATGGAAATCAAATTGGACCATTTTGAACAAACTAAAAGAATAAGAAAAAAGAAGAAAAAAGATTTCAAATTTCAGTAAATTTCCTCTAAGATTCAAACTCTTATACTTTTACCTTTAGACAATTGAATCAACTCTTCTAATTTGAAAAATTTGTCAAAGATCAACCAGAGACAATCATCAGGTAAATCGTTTAATAACATAACTATAATTCACTAAATGGGTAAAGTGAAAAAAACGAAGTCACTAAATTGAAGTTTTGAATATGAAACTTTCGATACTAAGTTTTGTATAACACAAGGCGGTAAAAAAGTTTGTTTCACATGTGAGGTTTAGGATACGAGCGCTCGATTCAAAAATCGAAATCAAACTAAAATGTCAACAAATTCACTTATCATTACAACTCTGAGGAGAGAAATTTTCGTACCATATTTTGTCATGACAAAGAAAATTTATTCCTTAATTATTATCCTTAAATTATTTCATCTCTGATAATAATCTCACCAGTTCTTTTGAATGATTATCCTCAAACTTTTCGACAAAACCAGTAATCGCAAGGTTATGTGAAATAGGAAATTAGGACAGTCGATTTCCGAAAGATTGAATTGACCATTGAATGAATTAGTGTGATTATGAATCTCAATTGCTGATGAATATCTGTGCCTTGAAATAGATTAAGACGCTGAAAATAACTAATGATTTCGAACTGTTTTTTGATACAATCAAACTGTTCAAAAGAAGCGGTTGATTTAATTTAAACCCTTTCACTTTTCCTTCAGGAGCCACAAACCGAGTGATGAGGCACATGTTTAAGGTTATTCCTAATTTAAAATTATTAATTTTTATTTCATTGGCGATTTTTATTTTAACTGTTCAGTGAATTATATGTAATTATGCTATTGAACGATTTGATTGATGATTGTCTCTGGTTGATCTTCGACAACTTCTTCGAATTAGAAGAGCTGATTCAATTGTCTAAAGGTAAAAGCTTAAAAGTTCAACTGTGGATAATTAATAAATTGTAGTATTAATTCAATACTAAATTTCAATTGTTTTTGTTTCTTTAGTCTGTTCAAAATGGTCCAATTTGATTGATCTAAGATTCAAGAAAGTTAAATATCTTCTCAACAGTAAGTAAAATTCACATTTAAATTATTGTGTCAGAAATTCTTAACCGATTCTATCGACTTCTAGGAGTGACAATTAAACATTTAGATCATTCAAAAGTATGGATGGAGGATCCAGAAACTATCGAAGTTTATGATTTAAGGGAATTGTTACCAAATCTCAGGGTAGATATTAAATAGAAATGGTTTACTAGTAGTTTATTAATTTTGTTCGTTTTAATGGCTCAAGGCCATTGATCTCTTTCCTTACGTTGGTGATAAACCATGGATATCATCAAATTATAGACCAATGGTTGACAATAATCCGAAAATAAAAGGACTGGTTGATCTAACTGATGGTTATAATCTCAATTTGGAAAATATCGAGATGGTCGCAATGGATAATAAAATGATGGAGTATAAAAAACTCTTTTGTCCTGATCAGTTGAAACAAATTTACTTTGATTGCGCTTTTGATCTAAATGATCTGAATGAACTCGTCGAATACTTTCCGAATTTAAAGAGAATCAACGTTAAGTTCTGTGGTAAATTACACGTGTACTTTTTGATTAATTATCTAAATTAATTGAAGAATTATTCTTAAAGGGAAACCAGTTCGTTATGATGGTCCAAATTTATTCAATCTGAAGATCTTTGAGTCTACTGTAGATGGGCAGTTTGGTACCTGTAATGCAATTCATGTGATGGACTTTTGTCCATCTTTGGAAAGTGCTTACATTTGTGACCAATCAGATGATGAATTTACCAACATGGCTCGAAAGAACTACAATTTAAGGGATTTGGTAATTGTAAATACAGTATGTATCTAATTTATTCTAAAGTAAATTGTGTTAAGGATATGACAATTGAATTAATTTTCTAGTTCGTATCACTCTTTGCGTATGATAATTCACCATTCAATCCATTCTACAACAGCCTTCATATATGAATTTCATTTAAATCAATTTTCATCATAGCCATCGACAGACAACTTAACATGGCCATTCTTACGAAAACTGTTGTCCAAGTATCCAAATTTACATAATCTTGCGATCGACGGAGGTTATAAAATGGATGATAGTCGTGTTACAGAATTGGTAAAATTATTACCAATGATAAAGCTGATGGACTTCAGAGGATCCAAAAAAGTTACTGTTAAATCAGCTGATTTTTTATCTAAATTCTGTCTTGAGTCTAATCGATCCATAAAAATCTATTATGATTGTGAAAAGGAACCAAATGACTGGCCTAAATACGATAATCCTCGAGAATCAATTGTCTACGGATTCGATTTTATGAAGCATTGTTTTTATAGACCTTTTGATGATCTTCCGCGCCTAATTGATGAATGAACTCTAAAGCTTCAATAAATCATGCTACATCGATAACCAGTCAATACGATTTAATTTTATATTTTTCGCAAGAAACGTGTGTTTATCTCTTACTTGGGTCGAGGAACATCCAAAGACACCCTTTGAGCGAAGCATTCAATAGTAGAATAACAATCAAGGTAAAAATCAAAAACGAAGACTCAAAATTACAACGGTAACATACACTTTCATGGTCAAAATTTCCACTTCGCCAATTCTAATCGATTGGATTCAAGGCTGATAAGAAATCAACTGATTTCTCAGTGACTTTTTCCGGATCTTCTGTAGTTCAACAGTTTTATTTCTAGTAGAATTGCTACCAGTTATTCTATACGATCATCGTTTATTTCGTCACTTCCTCTAATTGCAAGATGATTTAAATTTTCATAACAGTTTCTGTAAGAATGGCTATGTAATGCATTCGGCAAGTGCCTTGAAATAAAAAACAGATAAAAATGATTCTGATTGCAAAAGAATCTCGATACTCACGTAATGTTTTGTAATCACCAAATCTCTTAAATAGTAGTTCTTTAGATAGATATTAGCATAGCGATCACCATTTGAACAACTCATAAAAGCGTTTTCCAAAGATGTACAAAAGTTCATCAAATGAAATCCGTAAACGCAAATTCCATTGGTCTGAAGCAAATTCAAGAATCTTGAGATTGCATAGATTTGGACCAACATTAAGAACTTGTTCCTCTTTAAAAATAGTTTTGTATTAATCTAGATCACTTATTCAGCATCAATAATTTACCATAGAACATGAAGCTGAGTCGCTCTAAATTCGGAAAAATGTTCAATGTATTCAGGAAGATATTGAAAAAAAACTTCCCTTTAAAGTGAATTACTAAGTGCTAAGTATAATACAGCCAAAGACTAAGTTTGCAACCATTTTTTAAATCACTCACGCAGTTAACGATAATCAAGTAAAGATAACTTTTGATATCTAATCAGTTGACCTTTTTAAGACCACATCACTTGAATTAGTCGACAAACTTATTATCATATCTCTGGATTAACTTTATCTCTCATTGATTATATTCAACTGCGTGAAGTATTTAAAAAGTGGTTGCCAACTTTAAGTCTTTGACTGTACAATTAGATTAAAAATATCTTAATTAAAAAGTATTTACATTTCCTATTAAAAGTCGCAAGAAATCTAATTGACAAACAACTTTTCTTGAAGCGATGGTCAATGAGCGACCACGTGAGACGCCACCCCTACGGAGTGACTAGCTTATTACTCTTTGGCGAAAAAAGTCAGCTGAGAGTGTAAATTGTGAGCTACCGGACTTATCTTGGGCCTTATCCAAAAGTAAAGTATCACCACAACACTATTTTAATTGTTCAGTGAATTATAAATATGTTATTAAACGATTTACCTGATGATTGTCTCTGGTTGATCTTCGACAACTTCTTCAGATTAGAAGAGTTGATCGAATTGTCTAAAGGTAAAAGTTTGAAAGTTCAACTGTTGATAATAAATACTAAATTTCACTTGTTTTTGTTTCTAAAGTTTGTTCAAAATGGTCCAATTTGATTGATATAAGATTGAAAAAAGTTAAATATCTTCTCATCGGTAAGTACAATTGTAATTACAACTATTATATCAGTAATTTTCTAACCTAATCTGTTAAACTGATTCTATCGACTCATAGAATGGAAAGTTACTCATTTGGATTATTCAAAAGTATGGATGGAGGATCCAGAAACTTTCAAGTTTATAATTTAAGGAATTGTTACCAAATCTCAGGGTAGATATTAAATAGAAATGGTTTACTAGTAGTTTATTAATTTTGTTCATTTTAATGGTTCAAGGCTCTTGATCTCTTTCCTTACGCTGACGATAGACCATGGAGATCATCAAATTATGGACCAATTGTTGACAATAATCCGAAAATAAAAGGACTGGTTGGAATAGATTCTAAATATATCATCGATTTGAAAATGATCAGTATGGTCTCAATAGATCAATTTTATTATGAGCAAGAGTATAAAAAACTCTTTCGCCCTAATCAGTTGAAACAAATTCGTTATAATGAAGATTTCCTGCTGAAAGATCTTTCTGAACTCGTCAAATACTTCCCTGATTTGAAGCGACTCAACATTTGGCTTGAAGGTAAATTATTGCTGTTCGATTAATGATCTACATTAACTGAAGAATTATTTTTAAAGGGCAAAAAGATCGTTATAATGGTCCAAATTTATCCAATCTGAAGATCTTTGAGTTTTCTGGATGCTGGGATTCTTTCTGTCCCGCATTTCATGTGATGGACTTTTGTCCATCTTTGGAAAGTGCTTACATTCAGGGACAATCAGATGATGAGTTTACCAACATGGCACGGAAGAACTACAATCTAAGGGATTTAGTAATTGAAACAGTGAGTATCAAATTCAAATTTATCCTATTAATAAGTCTATTATTTCATCTTGCATATCACCATTTGAACAAAATGTTGATCGCTATACTGATATCTCTCTAAGGAACTACAACCTAAGAGATTTGGTGATTAAAAAACAATACGTGAGTATCAAGGTTCTCTTAGAATATGAATAATCTTCTTTCTGTTTTTTATTTAAAGGTAGGGAGTGAACTCATGACAAACTACATATCATGGCCATTTTTACGAAGACTGTTGTCCAAATATCCAAATTTGCATAATCTTGCGATTAGAGGAAGTGGCGAAATAAATGATAGTCGTCTTGAAGAGTTGGTTGCGATTCTACCAGAAATAAAACTTTTGGACTTCAGAAGATCCAAAGGAGTGACTTCAAAATCAGCTGATTTCTTGTCTAAATTCTGTCTCAAATATGATCGATCAATCAAAATTTATTATGATTGTAAAAAGCAACAAACTGACTGGCCTAAATTAGACTCGCATCGAGAATCAATTGTCTACGGATTCGATTTCATGGAACATTGTTTTTATAAAACTTTTTTCGCTCTTCCAGATCTAATTGATGAATGAACTCTAATGCTACAGGCTCATTTTACATTGATACTTAGTATCACGTGATTTAATTATTGTATCATCTTTTATAATTTAGCAAGGGAAAAAATCACAATAAACACTTATATGACCTTATATACTGTCGCAAATCTAATGGATCAATTCGAAGCTTTTATGATTGGGGTCAGACCTCAATTGAGTGGCCTGAATACGATACTCCTCGTGAATCAATTTTCTTCGGAGCTTCTTACGAATAAATTGTCTACTAATTCGATCTTATGAAACATTGTTTTATAAGTCTTTTCCGGCTTCCATTTCTAATTGATGAATAAACCACGAAACCACCAATTTTCAAATCTTATGAGCATTGTTTCGATGAAAGTTTTCCCAATCTTCCGGACCTAATCGATGAATAAAATCACTTACATTTTATTGTATCATGACAGTGACCTAATTGATGAATAAATTTTAAAGCTTCTAATTCATTTTACATTGATAATAAGTTGAATGTGAATAAGAATACGAGTTAATTATTTGATCATCTTCTATTTGTTGCCCATGTTTCTAGGTATCATGAATGTGTATTTGAGTTTTTTAAAATTAATTCAACATCAATAACTTACCACCAAACGAAATATTGAGTCACTTCAAGTTTGGAAAGTATTACAATACATTCAATATATTTATAAAGTTGAATCTCAAAGTTATTGTAACTAATCTGTTTCATCTTAGAAGATTGGAAGACTTTTATATCGGATAGATTATTGCACTCTTTTCGAGTTTTTCAAATTCAGTTTACACCAATCTTTGCCATGATCAATTCAATCACCATTTTCCATCTCGAAAAATGAGTCAAAACTGATTTATGATTAAATGAAAATTTACTTACTGTTAGCAATGTATTTAACTTTTTTCAATCTTACAGAAATTAACTTGGACCATTTTAAGCAAACTATAGAACCGAAAAGAAATGAAGTTGCTTTTTGCTACTATTAAAACTCCAATACTATGTTACCTTCAGATAATTGAATCAACTATTCAAGCTCATTGACTTGATTGAAAACAGGAATACATACGAGCTGGAAGGGTTAAGTCGATCAAATCGCTTCTTCCATGGAAGAATATTAATATTATTTGATATAATAAAATGTAGATGCTTTTATTCATCAATTAGGTCCGGAAGATTGGAAAAACTCTTATAAAAACAATGTTTCATGAAATCGAATCCGTAGACGATTGATTCTCGAGGAGTATCGTATTTTGGCCAATCATCTGGTTCCTTTTCACAGTTATAATAGATTTTGATTGATCGATTAGATTCAGCACAATATTTAGATAAGAAATCCGCTGATTTACGCGTGATTCTTCTGAGTTTTCTGAAGTCAAATAGTTTTATTTCTGGTAGAATCTTTACCAATTCCTTAATACGATCATCATTTGTTTCGTTACCATATATAGTACTATAAAACAAGGGCCTCTAATCGCAAGATGATGTAAATTAGAAATTTGGACAACAGCGCACGTACAAAACGCCAGTTCAGCTGTTCATCCCGTGACTGTAGCAAGAAAAGAAGAGTAAAAATAATTTTTAAAAATTACTCAGATTCAAAGAAAAATATAAAGCGAATACTCACTATTTCAATAACCAAATCTCTCAAATTGTAGTTCTTTATGGACGAATCAACGCGCTCATATGGTACCGCAATTTTGATGAAAGCGCTTTCTAAAGATGGACAAAAGTCCAACAGATAAAATTCATCAAGATCTCCATCCCATCCGTATAAATAAGATTCCAGAATCTTCAAATTGGACAATTGTGGACCATAGTACCCGATACGTTCTATTATTTAAGAAATAGTTGCTTGCTTCAATCTAGATTATTAACATCAATAACTTACCGCAGCAATTGAAGTTGAGTCGCTTCAAATTTGGAAAGTATTGGACGTATTTATGAAGCTTTCGCATGCGGGTACCTGTTGAAAAAAATCGAATTTGTTTCAACTGATCAGGTTGAAACTTGTGTTTATAGTCGAACATAGCATTATCCATTGTGACCATCTCGACATTTTTCAAATCTAGTAGATCATCAATTTTCAATCCAACCAAACCTTTGATATTTGAATTACAGTTTACCAATGCTCTAATCTTATTTTGATCCCTGGGACCGAGACATGGAATAGTTAAAATCTAAACTCATTGCAGCAAATAAAAGTAAATCAACTGTTAGTAAATATGAGCAATTTTCTATTTGATAATTACCCTGAGATTTGGTAACAATTCCCGTAAATTGTAGCGTGCAACAGTAGTTGGTTTCTTTACCCAAATTTTGGTATAATCAAAATGATCAAGAGGCCGCACTTGAAATCGATAAAAAGGTTAACAAAATACGAGCAATAATTGAAATGCAAATTTACTTACCCCTGACCAGATATTTTACTTTTTCGAGTCGCATGGAAATTAAGTTGGACCATTTTGAACAAACTAACAAAAACAGAATTTGAATTTCAGATCATTTCTTATACAATGTAAACTATTATTCTCTTACCTTGAGCCAACTGGATCAACTCTTCTAATGAACAAGAATTGCCGAAGATCAACCAAAGACAGTTCTCCGGTAAATCGTTTAATGACATTATTTTAATTAGGAACAATTTCTCATGTAATTAAAATTTTAGATTCATCTGAACAGTACTGAGATGTTTAAACTTACAGCAACTTTAAACAACTGTTACCGTTGAAGGGTTTAAATTCAGTCAACCGCTTCTTTTGAATAGTTTCAAAAGACAATTCAAAAGTTTTGAATAGAAATCAACGGTTGTTAGCATAATTAAAAAATAAGAGATAATACAATAATTAAATGATATAAGCATTCAACTCATTATCAGTGTGAAATGATTAACTAATAGTAGCTTGAGAGTTTATTCATCAATTAGATCCGGAAGATCACAAAAATATTTATAAAAACAATGCTTCATGAAATCTAATCCATAGACAATTGAATCTTGAGGAGTGTTTAATTTAGGCCAATCGAATGGTTCCTCTTTACGATTGTAATAGATTTCGATTGATCGATGAGATCTGAGACAATATTCAGACAAAATATCAGCTGATTTTTCAGTAACATTTTTAGATCCCCTGAAGTCTAACAGTTTTATTTCTGGTAGAATCGTCACCAACTCTTCAATACGATCATCGTTTATTTCACCACTTCCTCTAATTGCAAGATGATGTAAATTTGGGAATTTGGACAAAAGATCGCAAAAGAACGACCAGTTCAGCCTTTCTCCCCATGACTTTAGAAAGAAAAGGAAGAATAAAAATTAATTTAGATTCAAAGAAAATCACCAATTCTATACTCACCATTTCAATAACCAAATCTCTCAAATTGTAATTCTTCAGAGATATATCAATATATTCACCTTTCGGTGGACTACGAATGAAAGTGCTTTCCAAAGATGGACAAAAGTCCATAAAATGAAATAGATGAAAATTTCCTTCGTATTCTGATAGATATAATTCAAGAATCTTCAGATTAGACAGATTTGGACCTTTGTAAATTCTTTCTCCTCCTTCGAAAATAATTCTTTCATTAATTAATACGATAATTGATTCGATATCAATAGCTTACCTTTGAGTAGCAGCGAAATGTTGAGTCGCTTCAAGCTTGGAAAGTATTCAACGTATTGAGGAAGTTCAGTGATGAAAGTTTCGTACAAGCGAATTTGTTTCAACTGATCAGGTCGGAAGACTTTTTTGTAATCAAATTCGAGGGATTTCACCGAAATCATTTCGATATTTTCCAAGTTGAGCAAATGGAACAAATCAGAATTAAGACTATAGAGTCTAATCAATCCTTTAATCTTCGGATTATCATCAACCAATTTTTTTACATCTTCAAATTCTAACTCATCACCAAATAAAACAGCAGGAATACTGAGAATCTAAACTCACCACAAAAAGTACGAACATTAGATTAATAAATATTATATTGACATAAAAATCTTATACTTGATAATTACCCTGAGGTTTGGTAACAATTCTCGTAAATTATGATCTTTAATTGTTTTTGATCGTTCATCAATATCTTGGTAAGATCGAAACGATCATCATTGGACTCTTTAGAACAGAGTTGGCGAAATTAATCAAAAGTAATTACATGTATAAAACAATTTACTTACTAATGAGCAAATATTTAATCTTTCTGTACCTCAAGGATATTAAACTGGACCATTTCGAACAAACTTTAGAAACAAAAAGAATAAAATTTAAGTCACTTCTCTTTACCATTTAAACTCTTATACTTTTACCTTTCGAAAGTTTGATCAACTCTTCTAGTTCGAAGATTTTATCTAAGATCATGCAAAGACATTCATTAGGTAAATCGTTGAATGACATAATTATAATTCAACGAACAGGTAAAATTAAAAAACGAATCGGATTCTCGTAATTTGAACATTAGAAATAATTAACATGTCATTTCCAAAGGATAACTTTGGTAAAGTTGTTGCTATTCAACCGAACCGTTATCAGCTGGAGGGTTCAGTCAATCAAAGCGCTTCTTTCAAATATACTGATTGTTTCAAAAAACTTTTTTAATTGAATAAAAATATGTTAAGTGAATTTAAACTTCTTGTGAAATGTTATTATGTATCAGACAACTTTAATACCTAAATTTTTTAGTCAATCAATTAGATCTGAAAGTGTGGAAAAAGATTTATAAAAATAGTGTTTTATGAAATCGAATTTGTAGACAATTTATTCACAAGAAGCTCCCAATTTAGACCATTCGACTGGTTCCTCTTTAGTATTATAGTACAATTTGATTGTCCGATGAGACTTGAGACAATATTCAGAATGAGCGATGAGATTGAGGATTGCCATGTTGAAGAATTGGTTGAGATATTGCCAGAAGTAAAACTGTTGGACCTCAGAGGATCAGAATATGTCACTCAAAAATCAGCTGATTTCTTGTCGGAATATTGTGCTAAATCCAATCGATCAATCAAAATCTATATTATGATTGTGAAAAGCAACCTATTGACTGGCCCAATTTGTTTGGAACTGATGATTCAATCGTCTATGGATTCGATTTCATGAAGCATTGTTTTTATAAATTTTTTTGTGATCTTCCGGTTCTAATTGATGAATGAAATCACCTACATTCTACTGTATAAAATAATATTAATATTCTTTCATGAATTTTGTCTCGAATGTTCCAATCAAATAAATTGTCATTGAAGCTATAGTCTGGTGATGAGAGTATTTCAGTTTATCAACCGTTCGTTTTTTCATAATAACCATCATTTTGAACGATTTTACTTTCGGTCGCTAATCATTTGTTACAAAATGGAAAATAAATTTTCTCCGTCGTAAATGATCAAAATTCGTTGAAAAAATGAGCTTGGCTTGAATCTCAATTGTAATGTTTATTTCGAACACTTAGTATACGATCCTTAACGCTTTATTGATTGAAAAAACTTCGTTCTACCTCCAATTATTGACGCTCATCTTACCAGATTTTGAAATCAAATTAATTAAAATAATTGATATAATATTCAATCAGACCAACATCAATGCAAAATGAATATGAAGCTTTAATTTATTCATCAATTAGGTGTGGAAGACATGAAAAACGCTTATAAAAACAATGTTTCATGAAATCGAATCCGTAGACAATTGATTCTCAAGGAGTATCTAATTTGGGCCAGTCAATTGGTTCCTCTTCACAATCATAATAGATTTTGATTGATCGATTAGATTCGCGACAATATTCAGACAAGAAATCAGCTGATCTTCGAGTGATATTATCACATCTCCTGAAGTCAAATAGTTCTACCTTTGGTAGTAACTTAACCAATTCTTTCACATGGATATCCTTAATAGCGTCTTCTCCTCTGATTGCAAGATTATGTAAATTTGGATATTTGGGCAATAGTTTTCTTAAAAATGGCCATGCCAAGTTGCTCAATCTAATAGACACCTTAAGATAATAAAAAGGTAAAAATCAATTCAATTTAAAGATTCCAATTCGATGCTCACTGTTTCAATTACTAAATCCCTCAGGTTGTAGTTTTTTTGTGCCATGTTGGCAAATTCATCATCTGATTCGCCGTTAATGTAAGCACTTTCCAAAGATGGACAAAAGTCCATCACATGAAATGCGTTATGGTCATCATACCATTTGTCTACAGAAAACTCGAAGATCTTTAGATTGGATAAATTTGGACCATCATAACGAACTGGTCCACCTTTGAAAATAATTCTTGAATTAATTTAGTTCATTGTTCAAACGAATAATTTACCATAAAACTTGATGTTGATTCTCCTCAAATTCGGAAAGTATTCAACGAGTTCATTCAGATCATTCAAATGCAAAGCGCATTCAAAGTAAATTTGTTTCAACTGATCAGGACAAAAGAGTTTTTTATACTCCACCATTTCATTATCTATTGAGATCATTTCGATATTTTCCAAATCGAGTGAATGAAAAGTATCTAGTCCAACCAGTCCTTTTATTTTCGGATTATTGTTAACCAATTTTCCATAATTTACTGTCCTCGATCCCTCGTCATAACAAGAAAAAATATTAAGAATCTGTAAACATAGAATAGAAATAAAAAAATTACTAGTAAATGTAAACAATTTCTATGTAATATTTACCCTGAGATTTGGTAACAATTCCCGTAAATTATCCAATTGAATAGTTTCTGAATCCACCCATAATTTTGAATAATCAAAATTTGGAACTGTTCTGTCTAGAAATCGATAGAATCGACCAAGAAATTAGTGATACAATAATTAGAATATGAATTTTACTTACTGTTGAGAAGATATTTAACTTTTTTCAATCTTATATCAATCAAATTTGACCATTTTGAACAAACTAAAGAAACGAAAACAAATGAAATTTAGTATTGATTGTCCACAGTTGGACTTCATTATCAATGACAAATGAATTTGTAGCTTTAGAGATCATTCATCAATTAGGTTCGGAAGATAGTGAAAATTCTTATAAAAACAATGTTTCATGAAATCGAATCCATAAACGATTGATTCTTCAGGAGTGTTGTATTTAGGCCAATCAATTGGTTCCTTTTCACAATCATAATAGATTTTGATTGATCGATAAGATTTGCGACAGAATTTAGTTAAGAAATCAGCTGATTTTGAAGTCACTCCTTTGGATCTTCTGAAGTCCAACAGTTTTATCTTCGGCATTAACTTGACCAATTCTTCAACACGACTATCCTTAATAGCATCACCTCCTCTGACCGCAAGATTTTGTAAATTTGGATACTTGGACAACAGTTTTCGTAAGAATGGCCATGTTAGGTGTATTCCAAGTGGCTTGAGATGCAAAAAAATAGTTGAAAATTAATTTCAGAATAGATTCGGATTCTATATACCCACTGTTTCAATTACTAAATCCCTTAGATTGTAGTTTTTTTGTGCCATGTTGGTAAATTCATCATCTGATTGACCGTGAATGAAAGCACTTTCCAAAGAAGGACAAAAGTCCATCACATGAAATGCGTTATGGTCATCATACCATTTGTCTACAGAAAACTCGAAGATCTTTAGATTGGGTAAATTTGGACCATTGTAACGAACTTGTTCACCTTAGAAAATAATTCTTCAATTAATTAAGATCATTAATCACATTAAACACTAATAATTTACCTGCAAACCAAATATTGAGTCGTTTCAAATTAGGAAAGTATTCGGCGAGTTCAAAAAGATTATGCAAATAAAAATAGTCCTTATAACGAATTTGTTTCAACTGATCACGTTGAAAGCGTTTTTTATGCGAAACACGTATAAAATTTATTGAAACCATTTCGATATTTTTCAAATCGTAGTCATAAAGAGTATCTAGTCCAACTATTCCTTTTATTTTGGGATCGCTAATCACTTTCTCAAAATAATGCATTTTACAAACTTGGCCGTAATAGTGATAAGAGATATCAAAAATCTGAAACAATTGAATAGAATAAAAATTAATAAACTTCCAGTTGGTGTGAGCAATTTCTGTTAAACATTTACCCTGAGATTTGGTAACAATTCCCGTAAATTATTAATATATCGTCGAATAGTTTTCAAACTTCTTGTGTTAAAATTGAAAATTGAAATTCATCTGATTAGCAATAATTTTTTCGATTCACTTTGGGTAAGACTCAAGATATGTCCGTCAGCTCGATATTTTCAATTTTCAGCTGATTTTTTTCTCGGCTTAAGGTTCGGTTTGATTGTCTCAGGCCCTCCGGGCCTTTCTTTGGTCATGGTGACCCTTATTAGCGAAGACCTAACCTAACCTAATTTAAACAAACACAATTAACTGAACAATTAAGTCCATTTTCATATGTAGCTTGAACTTTAAGCCGAAAAAAAGTCAGCTCAAAGTTAAGATATCGAGCTGACGGACATATCTTGAGTCTTACCGTTTAATTGTTGAAAAACTTTTCGAATTGAATAAAAGTGACCTCAATAAATATTAATAGTAGACTTGAGTAAACTTTAATGATGAAAATCAAAATAAAGTTTATTTTGTCATTAGTCATAGTCTCATAGAACGATATCTGAACAGCAATCCCATCAATTGTTTTCGGGGATGGTTCAACCACAAATGACTGATCAACCATCAGTACCGAGTCGGTACTACCGACCCAATCGATGCCAGTTGAAGCTTCAGCCCAAGTCAATACCAACACCCATTCCAGTTTCAGTTCCAACTTCAACTCCGATGTCAATACCAGAGACAAAAACACTGACAACACTTACAGTAAATAAAGATTCTAGTGGTAATCAAACGACTGATTTATTAATAATTGTTCGTCCTTATCCATCTCAATCCAATGATAGTTTAATCAAGAGTTTTGGTCAACAATTACAAACACGTTCGAAAGTAATTGTTTCCATAAATAAACCAAGTCAACATGATTCACGAAGTTCCTCGATCACGACAATGGGTCGAAATGGTAAATTGTTGATGTTACTGCGAACCTTAATAATTCGAGTTATTATTTCTCATGAGTGGGTGCTCAGATTGCGTTTTTACTATTTTTCGACTTTCAAAACAAACTTACTTACTTTGTTAGTCAAATTTTCATCTAAATTTCTGATACCATAATATTCTATAGAATCCTCGTAGTTTTATTAGTATCTTGTAGTAATAATCGTTAGCAGCGAATTTGTCCCAACTGATCAGGTAGAAAACTTTTTTATCGAAAAATAACTCTAAAGTGCACATTTCGATATTTCCTTGTTAAAATTTTTTCCAACACATGCAAGAAATCCAATCAATTCCTTATTCTCGGAAAGTTGTTGACAATTCTTGTTAAATCATCAGATCGAAGACTAACCGAGATCAAGCTTGATTACGGATTTTTTATTCGTGGCTTTGGCTTATTGATTGATTCAAGTCAGTCGGTTGTTGAAGAGAATGGGTAATCAGCTGACCTGTTTCGGTATCGGGTGATTTTGATAAATCAATAAGGACCAATATGTAATCATAAGTGATATTAAACTTTGGGTTATAAAAGTTTCGATTTTATTCATCAATGAGAACTGGAAGAGATAAAATAGATTTATAAAAACAATGTTTCATGAAGTCAAATCCGTAGACAATTGATTCTTCAGAAGTGTACAACTTAGGCCATTCGGCGGGTTCATTTTCACAATCGTAATAGATTTTAATTGATTTTTTCTCTTTGACACAATATTTGGACAGAAAATCAGCTGATTTATACGTCACGTTCTTACATTTTCGTAAGTCCAATGTCTTCAACTCAGGTAATAATTTTATCAATTTTTCTAAGTTATTATCATTAATCGCATCAACATATCTCATCCCAAGATGATGTAAATTAGGAAATTTGGACAAAACTGATAGCCTCGGAAAACAACCAGCCTTAATCGAAAGAATAGAAAAAAAAAATTGTTAATAATCTAATAAGTATTTTTCACCCATTGACTTACACCATCGATAACCAAATCTCTTAGATTGTAATTCTTTATCGATTCATCTACATGAATATTCTCTGCCCAACAATGGATGAAAGCGCTTTCCAGAGATGGACAAAAATCCATGAAATGAAATCCAGTGAATTGTTCAACCAAATCAACCGTATCAAGTTCAAGAATCTTTAACGAAGACAAATTTGGTCCATTGTAAAAAACTCCGTCCGCTATTATAAACAGTAAAACGATATAAACCATTAATACAGTCGTAAGACTAATTCAAGTTGAAACTCACTTTCATTGAGTTCTATGTTAAGTCGCTTCAAACTTGGAAAATATTCAATGAATGCAGGAAGATCATTCATGTCAAAATAGTAGCACCTAATTTGTTTCAACTGATCAGGTCGAAAAACTTCTTTATAATTGAATTGGTTCTGAAACACTGCAGCAAGCATTTCGATATTTTCCAAGTAACCAACTCTTTCCAAATCGAGATCGCTAATCAATCCTTTTATTTGTGGATTATTTTTGAGCATTTTAGGTAAATCAGCAACGAGATAAAAATTGTAACTTGAAACTTCTATAATCTATCATAAAATTAAAATATAATTAGAAATAAACGTCATTTTGATCTAAAAAATTCGTAAATTACCTTTAGATTTGGAAACAATTCCATCAAATTGTAATTTTTCCATAATTTTGTTTCATAATAATTCATCCAGAAAATGTTCTTGTCGATATAATCACGTTTTTTATCTTTGGATTAAAAAATTGGAAATAAATTAATTATAATCGCTAATGGGTTAAGTAGAAATTAACTTACACTTCATCACTTGGAGATATTTTACTCGATTAAATTTCGGCGCAATCAAATCGGACCATCTCGAACAAACTGAGTGAAAGTAAATAAGCATTAGAATTTCATCATCTAAACTGAATTTTTATCTTACCTTTAGACAAACGAATCAATTGTTTAACTCTATGGAAATTTTCTAAGATTTTCCAAAGACAATTATCAGGTAAATCGTTAAATGACATGATGGTAATTTACTTTTTAGCCATTTGAATTTGAAGAAATGAAGAAGCACAAATTTAATTTGAAATGAGAAATATTCCTGGTAAAACAGCTGATGGACTACTAAGAACAAGCGGTGGACCGTAGTAAAAGGCAAAAAAAGGCAAAAAGAAGCAAAAAAGAGCTAAAAGACAAAAACACTTTTTAAATTCAATTCTTTTTACTTATATTTAATTTTTACGATTTGAAGATGAACTCAGGTCAGTATATGTGGTCAAATTATCGATAAAAAATTAGATTTTTAGTTGAAATTGAATAAAAAAGTATTCATAAATTGATGTTCAAACTTCGCGCATCAAAAATCAGAAAAATTGAATTATTTTGAGATTTTGGTGATTATTGTTTTGTTTAAGTGCTATTATTGTCAATATTTCGAAAAGTCAGAATAAAATATCCTGAGGCTCTTTCACTTCAATTCTACTTGACGGTGGAGAATTTTGGCCCTTTTTTGCTCTTTTTTGCCTTTTTTTGTCTCTTTTCGTCTTTTTGTCTTTTACCACGGTTCACAAGCGGTTCTTTTTGAATATGACAAAAGGAGCATTTTAAATGCATCTGAGCAGCAAATGAGTCCGTTTTGTCCATAATATCCATGCGACTCTTCATCATCAATGTTGTGAAGTAATTGCTCAATGACTGATTGTCTCAAAATAATAGCATAGAAATAAAGAAGAGAATAACAAACATAGAATATGATTGAGTAGATAATAAAACGGAGTGGACCATTTCGGTTAGTTTTAGTTCGGTCACTTAGAATACAGTTCTAACCCCTTATTGATTCTCATAACTTAAGCCCACCTCCAACCATCTAAAATCTTATATAAAAATTCATCGTTAATAGAATACAGAATAAGAAATTAAATGAAACCGAAATCTTTATGAAAAGTGAAAGTCTAAAAAAGTAACTTCGAGATCACCTGATTGTTTGTCTGAATATTATCGCAAATCTCGTAGATTATATGAAATCTATGACAATTGCGAAAAAGGACCAATTGAATAGCCTAAAGTAGATACATGGACTCGCACTATGGACTCATTTTCATGAAGAACTGTTTCTACCAAAACTCACACAGTCTTTCAGCTCTTATTGGTGAAGAATCGTTGTACAATCTATAAGTGTACAACGGTTTGCCTTCAGGGAATATGATCAAAAAACATAACTGCTTAATTGGTTCAATATTGCGAAAAAGTAGCATCGTTGACGACCATTTCAACAGTTAACTTGGTTGTGGATTGATGATTTATCTAGTTATTCTATTCTTAATTGAATATGGAATTTTCTTAAAAAAAAGTTATTTTCTCTTTTTGATTAATCATGTGAACATAACCATAACATTCACCTTTTAACATCTTAACGATTATAAATCGTTGATTAGATTACAAAATTGGTGTATTAATGATGAATCCATGAGACAAGATTAAGATTATTGCTCAAAATAAACTTTATTTGTTTATCACCATAAAAGTTCAACTCATTTAGTAACTTAAACTGATCAATTGATCAAATCCTATGATGTACACACAATGTGCACACTTTTACATATGAACATCAACGAAATATTAACAAGATTATAAGTTATTTAGGCGGAGGGGGAGGTTACAATTTCTCCTGATGAGGCAGCTGAAGCGGCAACTTCGTCAGCCTTGTCTAATTCAGCAGCAGCGGCTTTGACGGCTTCGATCTTTTGTGCGGGTGGAAGTTTGTCAGCACCATTAACCTTTTCCATGGCTCCTTGGATTTTGCCCTTTTGTTCTCGGATCTTTTTGTTATCTTCTCCTCGGAATGCGTCTAACATGTCATCGAATCGGTTTCGAAGGGCATCGAATCGTTGAGTCATGGTGTTCTTAAGACCGGACCAGTTGATTCCAAAAAGAGATCGAGACTTGGCAGCTGAAACTTCACTAACAACTTGATTCTCAACGTTGTCAACTGAGGTGAGAATTTGGCTAACGGCTTCAGCTGATTCAGTGGCATCAAGTCGATCCTTAAGAGCCTTCAAGGTCTTGAGAGCATTGTCGAGGATCAATTGTCGAACTTCGTCTAATTTACCCTTGTTCTTTTCGATGTATGATTCCAAAGAATCAGTGACGGCGTCAACTCGATCAGAGACGATTCCTTGGAGACCAGGAAGGTTCTTCATGAGAGCATCAGCTCCATCTTCGAGAAGATCTTCAGCAGATTCTTGGAGTTGCTTAAGTCCATTCATGAAAGATTCTTTAGCTTCGGCGATTTGTTGTTGAAGAGCTGAGCCGAAGAATTTTCCAAATTGAGCCTTGGCATCGTTGAAGGCTGATTGAGCGTTAGCCACTAAGTCGTTTAAGACATTTCGCTTTTCAACGGATCGAGCTTCGATAGCGACGACTAAACAAGAGAAACAAGAAAATAATTATTAGAATAATCAACTAATTGTTCACACAATTGGAATAGATTAATAGTCTAATACTTACATCCAGCGACGAGGAGAACGGCAAGAGTAAGTCCAAAGAATTTCATTTTGATTTTTTTTATATTTTCTGATTAAAGACAATTAATCTGATGAGAATTGAATGTAAATCAGTCTCCTTTTATACTAGAAAATTCAATCAAAGTTTGATTCATTTGGTGTTACAATTAGTAAATCATTTTAATCTCACCTGTTCAATTGACTGTTTCAATAATTACATTGTCATCTCCCAATCAAATTTTATCCTTTGTCTTCGTCTAATTTAGATTGACATCTAATTGTTTCTTTCTCATAGCTTATCCATAGCTCATAGTGTGGCCTTTAATTATCAAAAACAACAATTAGTAAATTGTTGTTGAAAAACATTTCGATCAATCTAATATTTACCTTTTGACATTCAATCACTAAACTAATTCGCTAATTGTTAATAGAAAGGGTAAAATATGCTTCCATTTGCAGGATAGATAGAAATTAATTGTACTGATCAAGGTTAAAATATAATTACAATTTTAATCATGAGCACAATTAAATCACAATTATCGTAAAAATTAAACATTCGTAGGACATAATGTCAATTTCGTTGGATTTAAATTTACCTTTGCTAAAAGTCAATGTATCTTTAATTGAAATTTGAAAAGTAATTGTTACAAACCATTAATTACCAGAGGAAATTAAATCAACTGGTAATTAACAGTTGACTAGGCCTAATCACGGTTGATTTAGTTTAATTTATAAAATATTATTTATTAATAGTTAGTAATATTTAATTGTTTCAAAGAAAACCTAACCTCAAATATTAATAGAAAAAAAATTTCTCAACTATTAATAAATTATTTTCAAATTAAGAATCAAATCAAACTATTAACTTTCGTTTAATTGTTATGATTGTTTTCAATTGATGTTTTAATCAACTTAATCGGCAAAATTGAGTTTTAATTTTGTTCAAATTTTTTTTTGATTGTTTACAATTAACTCTCTTAATGGACATTTTTTGGATAATCAAACCATTTTTTTCACTTGATTTCATTTTAATCTATTTAATTGTTACAGTTAAATTTTCCCAGTCATTAGATGATTATGGTGACAGTCCAGAGATAATTAAATCTCGAGGATTTAATTGTGAAATTCACAAGATTGTTACAAGTGATGGTTATATACTAACCATGTTTAGGATTGTTAACCCGTTAATTGTTAAACAACAGCAATTAAGAAAACCACCAAATCGATTGGTAAATAATTACAAGCCTATTATACTTCAAAGTGGATTAGGTGGCTCATCTGATGATTATATTTTCAGTTCACCTGATGGTCAAGTTGATGAATCTTTGTTAAATAATCCAAATGTTGACCAGTTAATTAACTATTACAATGGTACTGGTCGCAATTTAGGTTTTCTACTCGCAAATCTTGGTTATGATGTTTGGTTAACTAATTTTCGAGCTAATTATTACTCTCGGAATCATACAACTTTAGATCCTGATTCAACAGGTACCAAAGACTATCCAAAATTCATCATAACAATTAGTTGGTCTAATTAAGTTTAATTATTGTTTTGCCTCCAGAGTTTTGGACAACAGGTCTTGATGAAATGGCCACGATCGATTTACCAACTACAATTGATTATATTTTGAATTCAACTAAAAGAAGTAAGTAAATTGTTTACATAATAATTTGTGGAAACAATTAAATCAAATGCTAATTGTACTTGATTGTTTGATTAATTCATTTTCCAATTCCCCGTTGTGAGTGCCATCTATTGGAATAGTTAAATAGTTTGAAGAAAATTTTTCTCCCCTCAACACAAGATGGCAGCACTTTTTTCCGCTCATTTTCGTTAATTGTGATTGAGAAACTTTTATGTTGCAATTAAGGAAACTTACAATTAATCTATCGTTTCTTTTGATAATAGAGACTGTTGGATATATTGGATTGTCTCGAGGATGTGCTGTCATGTTTGCTCTTTTATCAGAGAGACTTGAATACACGGAGAAAGTTAAACCATTCATCGCAATGGCTCCAGCGGTTTTCGTTGGTCGTTGGTCAGTTAGTTTGTTTAAAGCGATTCTTGTAAATGTGAACAGTTTATTACGATCGCTGGCACGCAAGAGCCCAGTCGAGTGTTTTGGTCGAGGGTTTCCAAAGAAAATGCATCAATTATGCCACAATTCAGAGTTTAATCCATTCTGTTCAATTGGTCAACATTATTTATCCTTTTTACTTGGTGATCATACAAATCTAACTCGTATGGGAATTTATTTTACTCACTTTCCCGCTGGGTCACCATGTCTTGATTATATTCATTACTTTCAAATTGGACTAAGTGGTCGATTTCATAAACTTGATTATGGTGAAAAGGAAAATTATCTCCGGTATAATCAATCTAGTCCACCAGATTATCCATTGGAAAAGATTAGATCAAAGGACATTTACATATTCAATTCGAAAGGAGATAAACTCGTAACTCCAAATAATGTGGTGAAATTGGTGGATAAACTGAAAGGTACTTTATTCGAAATCATTAATGATTGAAATTCTGATTGATTGTCACACCTTACGGTTAAATTAATTTTCTATTTTCTTTAAAACAGTCAAGCCGAAAGAATGGAAAGTAATCAATAGATTGGATTTTGACCACTTAGACTTCGTCTTTTCATTGGAAATTGGCGTTGAAGTTAATCGAGATATAGTTCGTATTTTGTCCTATTATTGACGATCAGATCAAGTTCGAAGTACTAACAGTCTATAAATAGTCTATGTTAAAAAAATCGAATCTCAAACACCAAAGATTTCGCCAAAATGTTCATCATGATTAGTGAGCTATTTAAGACCATGTAATCAATAGAAACTGGAAATAAATAGTAATCATGATAAACCAATACAATCGACAATTTAATTTATTAAATCTCTAAATCGATAGATTGACATTGAAAAGGAGAAGAAGAAAAAATCAATCAACAAGTTGATTGTCTTTACATGTTAATCAATTCTCAATCGACCAACAATTTAATCGCTAATCAATAACTGTAATCTACTCACTTTTGTTTTCCTAATGATTTCTAACTGTATCAATTGATTTACCCTTAATTGTTAAAGTGTTTCAAATAACAATTGATTGAATTAACCATATAATCATTTTTTTTTAAAATAGAATCTTTAATTGCTCCTCACTAACAATCAAACCTCAAGTACATTAAACTAATAGCAATTAAATTGAATGGAAAACAGGATAAGACAAAACAAAAACGATTCAATTTGTTTCTGTTGAAAAATGGATTTCCTATTAATCCAAATAAATCTCACCAATAGAAACAATTGAAATGTGATATATTCCTCAATGAGAACATGAACCATTTAATCTAATGGAAAATTCAGATCAGTTAATTAACATTAATTAAACTCTTTTCTCTTCTCGAAAGCCGAAAAAGTTTCAACTTCTACCAACAGAAGCGCTGGTAACGTGATAACTGTTTCCGTCTACATTTGGTTAACTTGTTTTCACTTCATCTCTTTACCTGAACAGCTTTTGGTTACTTTCATGTTTTCATTTTCCAATTTGGATTATCCAATTTTGATAATCTTCTTCTTCTTCTTCTGGTTAACATGTTGATTATTTTTCTCCTTTAATCTCAGTGTCCAATTGTTTCGGTGGTAATTATGGTTAATTGTTTAGTCAACTCATCGTTTTCCGTTTTTTTTTGTAACACTTTGTTTCCCTTTGGCAAACAGTCAACATAATCCAACCATATTGTTGAATTTAGATTAACCTTTATCTTTGTTTATCTCTGTCTATTTTTTTATTCTCTTTGTTTTTCTCTGTCTTTTGTTATCTTTGATTTGTTCTCATTTTCATCATCATCATCTTAATCTCCATCATCTTACAACATCAACAATTCTAATCATCAACAGTGTAATGGTTTAAATGGATGGAAAGATTTTCTTTTACTATTCCTCTCGGTGACCCATGTAAACAAGATGAATTCATCTGACCAATTGGTTGAGTTAATTTTTGCTAATCTAAATTGTAAATGGTAAGTTTACATTCAATTAAGTAATTAGACTTTAATTAGTCTTCTAATTTAACCACTGGTTTTCCTTATTGGTTAATCTATCAGTCTCTCAATCAGTTCGCTTGCATTTTGGATAATGTACTTAATGGGGGATAGAGTAACAATCAGCTGAGAGTTTAAAGGTGGGATTTTTTTGGCTTTTTCTTAATCTGTATTCTATTAATGATGATTAATTTTATCATCTATTCAATCATATCCTGTGTTTGTTTATGCTTTAGATAGATTGATGGACAAATAGAGTTAATCAATTCAGTGTATCGATGATCCTTTTGTTGTCTATTGATTGTCTCTTTTCAAGAACATGTAATTTGAATCATTACGATTTGAATTATGATTGATTATTATAACTTTTTCTCTGTTCAATTTACTTGATTAATCAATTACTCATCTTTAAATTAATATTTCTAATTGAGATACATTAATATTTCAAGTTATTAGATTTTTCGTCATAAAAGAAATGATCATGTTAATATTGATTATCTTTTGCTGGCTTGAGATTCACTAGAAATCAAGATTTATTGATTATCCATTTACTTTTAAATCATTTACTCTAATCAAGGATAAAGATGATAGTAAACAAGATGACAAATTCATGTAACTTGTGAAAAAGCTGAATTTCAGACTTGAATTGAATTGAATGACTTTAAGACTGAATAATTACCATGAATCACCACATGATCATTGGAACCGGTTTATGATCATGAGAAAAGAAAATCAATCCTTCATGGAGAAGAAAAGTCAAAAATTTATCTGAATAATTTACTAACATTGATTTTTTATCTTCTTTTATTATTAGAAACTCTTATTAACTAATCCTTGGAACTTGGTGTTATTTCAATGGAGTTTTTTTTATATGTTCATCACTTCCCTAAATCTAATTAAATTATAAATCTGTTTGTTGACCATAATGAATGACAACTCAGAGGAATCAGAGTCTCACGAATTGGAGGAAGGATCTAATCTAACAAATTCTGGTTTTAGTGTACAAATTGTCTCAAGTTCTATTGTCCATCCATCGTCGACCTCATCTTTACTTGCCACTGAACCTCCTCTTCCTGGTGCCATTGAAGAGATGCCTTCGAACAATGTTCCTGATAAACCGAGAGGTTATGATAATAATCATGTTAATAGGGAAGGAGATGATGAAAATGATGAGAATAAATCAAAAATTTCTCTCAATCAAGATACAATTTTCTTTGAAGATGGAGAGCGTCGAATTGATTTTATAATAGTTAACAAAGCTACTCAATTATTTCGTGAAAAATTTGACAAATGTCGTGAAATCTTTGAGAATAATTTAATTCAAGAAGGGTTACATTTGGAATCATGTTCGGGTCACAGAGGGAATTCATTCCTACGATTTACCAAGATTCATGCTCCATGGGAAGTTCTTTCTCGATACGCGGAGATCTTACACTTTAAAATGAAAGTGAAACCGATTGAATCTTGGAAGACAAAATTCATGGACGAATCACTGAGAACATCTCCGTCCATGACATCGAGCATCGCACCGCCAGTCACTACAATAAAGAGACCAAAGTTGAGGAAAGAGAAATTTACTGCAACTTGGAGACGTGACAAAGAATACATGTTCGATATTCAAAGTGATGGTAGAGAAAACTTTTTTTCACCAGCCCAAAGATCACGAATCGTTGATTATATTCTCAAACGGACAAGTTTCGATGAAGGTCGAGCGGACGCTTCGTGCCTTGGGATCGATAAAATGATGGAAGATGGTGCTTATCAAGCTGCTTACCCTCTTCACGAGGGTAAATTAACTATGGACCATAAAGATACTCCTCGAATGGAATTATACTCTAAATGGGCCTCGTTTTGGCACTTTTTTGACCCTCAACCTCTCGACGAAATATGTCACTATATGGGAGCTAAAATAGCAATGTATTTCGCTTGGTTAGGTTTTTATACGATTATGTTGATTCCCGCCTCGATTGTTGGCCTTGGTTGTTTCATGTACAGTATCGCTACTTACCCTTCGGATACAGTGTCTCTTGAAATTTGCACCAAATCGTATGATGATGTAGCCATGTGTCCACTTTGTTCAGACCATGATTGTGATTATTGGCTATTATCGTCCTCTTGTATTGACACCTTTTTCTCTTACCTTTTCGATAATCCATCCACTATTTTATTTGCCGTTTTCATGTCCATTTGGTCGGCAATTTTCACTGAATTCTGGAAGCGATACTCAGTTACCATAACCTACCAGTGGGATATCTCATCTTTAGACTATTATGATGAGGTCCCTCGACCAGAGTATCTTGCCAAATTGGACCAACAAAAGAAAAAACAACTCAATTATATTACTCGAATGTACGAACCTTATGTACCTTTCTGGAAGAAACGATTCCCCTACCTTGTTTTATCGGGTTCTTTGGTTCTCTTCTTCATCTCTATACTCATTGCCGTTGTTTTGGTATAATTTTTATCGCGTTTCCGTTAAAACTGCCCTTTCAGAAGATCTTGACCCTCAATTGGTCGATACTCATCTTTAATTAGTGCAACCACAGCATCTTTCATAAACGTTATTCTCATAATAATCTTCAATTGGATCCATGAAAAAGTAGCCTACAAGTTAACTGAAATGGAATTGCCTCGAACTCAAAACGATTTCGATAACAGTCTAACACTCAAATTATACATTCTACAATTTATCAATTATTATTCTTCATTATTTTATATCGCATTTGTTAAAGGTCGATCAGTTCGTAATCCCGGTGATATGTTTAAACCTGGTCTGTTGAACAAAGAGCAATGTGGCCTTGGTGGATGTTTCGTCGAACTGACCATTCAACTAGCAATCATAATGATTGGAAAACAAGCAATATTTGCCATTCTTGAGATGATTCAACCTTGGTTCGAGAAAAGAAGCTCAGTAAGTACCAGACAGAATTAAACTAATACTGTATCAGTAGATTTCAAATCGATTAACCATAATTACCTTAATTCTTTATTTTTCAAACAGAAAACTTTTAAACTTTAGTGCTAAAGATTTACTTCGTTTACCTCAATGGGAAGCAGATTTCGCTTTGAAGGGTTGGGAATCAACAGCCTTATTTTATGAATACTTAGAAATGGTCATTCAATTCGGAATGGTCACTCTATTTGTCGTCGCCTTCCCTTTGGCTCCGTTGTTTGCATTGATCAATAATGCATTGGAAATTCATTTGGATGCAAGAAAATTTTTGTGTCACTATAGACGTCCGATTGCAATTCGTATTAAAGATATCGGTGTTTGGTCTCACATTATAACGGCATTGGGTAAACTTTCCGTTCTAACCAATGCTTTGATCATTGCATTCACTTCAAGTTTAATACCCAAAGTTTATTATCACATGAAAACTGGTTCACTTGAAGGTTACATACCCTGGTCACTTTCGTATTATGAGACAAAATATTTACCGCAGAATCTGACCAATTTCATCAATGAGTTCGGCCTTTCCCTCAATTCATCAACCATGTGCGCTTATTCTGGTCTCCGGTATCCACCGGGCAGAAATCATCAATATCTACCAAGACAAGCCTTTTGGGAAGTTCTCGTTTATCGATTGGTGTTTGTTGTCACTTTCATTAATATAATTTGGATTTTTAATTCTTTCCTCGAATGGATTATTCCGGATGTTCCTAAGAAACTTAATCAAAGGATCAGACAAAACACTTACCTAACTAATGAATTTATCATTAACCAAGAAACAATGAGAACGAGATCATCTTATAGCTCAGCTAAACAATCATCTTCAAATATTACAATTGATCCACAAGTCTAATTGTTAACTGATCATTATATTTAAATATTATCTGAATAATGTACTTAAAATGTTGACAATGTAAAAGAATATATTGATATTTATGTTGTAAATTGTATCAATCAATTGCAGGAAATTTGCAATATCATAAAGCCTATTAAATTGTTTATTTACAAAGTAAACACCGATCCAAGAATTTAATTTATATATAAATATAATTACATGTATATTAAAAAGCGAAAATTTCTTTTATTCTCTAAGCCAAAGGCTCGATTTATTACCTGGCCATTAATTCAAAATGTCCAAATCTCGAATTTGTATCATTCAATTAAATACAATAGAGAGATTTCTGATAGTCATGCGGAAGAGTTGGTAAAATTATTATCAGAGTTCAAGATATTGGACTTGAGAGAATGTGAGAGAGACACACAGAGACGCACAAATCAGCTATTGGTTTACATCAAAATTGCGTGTCAAAGCTCATCACCAATTAAAATCTTGTGGCCTGAATCAGGTGCTTGCAGAGATTTGATTTGCTCTGAATTCAATTCGTTTTTATCAAACTTTCCCCAGTCTTTCAGGTCTCATTGGCGAGTGAAATTTCAATCACATTGTAACAACCAACTCTAATCATTTAATAGAAGTTTTGTTCACTTCATTTTGTCGGTTATCTAAAAAGCCTCATGTCAAATGAATTATTCTTCATGTTTCTGGGAAACTAAATCAACGAATCAGACAAAACACAACAAAATAATAAATTTATCATTAGCCCAGAAACGATGAGGTAAAATATTAAAAAAAAAATTATCTGTGAAAATTCATTAACCGGATGCACTATGTAATTTTCAACAACAACCTATTATTATTAATACCTCACTAAGAAACTCTCTTCATAATGCTCAAAACTAAAAAACGCAAATCACACTTAAAACGAGCGCCTTGAAAGCTACTCTTTCCAAACAAAGGCCATAAAGCACCAGAAATTATCAGCTGGTTTTAACTTTTAGAAGTAAAAGTTTTGGAAACAACACAAAATCAATTTTGAATTGAAATTTTAAATTATTTCCTTAAATTGATTTCAAGTGAGTTATGTCGATTAACAATCTACCAAACGAGGTTCTTTTTATGATATTTGACCATTTTAATGGATTCGAAGAGTTGATCCGATTGTCTAAAGGTAAGATCAAGATGAAGTTTTAAGTTACAATGTTCCAAATTTATTTTCTACTGATCTCTTAGTCTCTCCAAGATGGTTCTTGGTCGTTTTGCTGAAGTTTAGCAAAGTTAAATATCTTCAATTGATGGATAGTAAGTAAACCTCCACAAGATTAACTCTTGATTTTGACTAATTTTTGAATTGATTGTTTCTAATTTTAGAACGCCAAAGAGACGGTGACTACATAGAGAATAACAAACTTTGGAAAAACACTAGAGAAACTTTGAAAAGTCACAATTTAAGAGATTTGTTGCCCAATCTAAGGGTATTTGCATTTTTCCTACTGATAATAAGTTCGTTTCTAATGAAATATCTTTCGAATGTTTTTTTGCATAGATTATGGAAGTTCCGAAGGATGTTTTTCTCCGTCTCCGTTCTCCGGAATCGTATGATTTTAGAAGGTTGATTAACGAACATCCAAAAATCAGAGGATTAATTGGACTTTATGAACCTGTTGAGTTCGGATATAACTTGGAAAATATCGAAATGATTTCGTCAGATTTCAAATTCGAATTTAAGAAAGTCTTTCGGCCTAATCAGTTGAAACAAATTCGCTTAAAGCAAATTTACATGTCTGAATTTTATCAATATGTCGAATACTTTCCGAGTTTGAAACGACTTAGCTTAACCCTTTATTATGGTATGTTTACGACTTAATGCAAAAGAGTTCTAATTTATTTTGTTTGTTAAAGATTCAGCAAAACCTTACAATGGTCCAAAACTGCTCGATTTAAAATCCTCGAATTCACTCCAAGTTCTTGGGTGAACAAATTGATTGGATTACTTCATGGATTCTTGTCCGAATTTGCAAAGCGCTTTCCTCTCGTATTCTGATGAAAGTTATTTCGCTAAAATATCGTAGATGAGTCCATAAAGAATTTCAATCTAAGAGACTTGGTTATCGAGAATGTAAGTCATTGAGTTTCAAATTCTTATTAGATTATTCTTAAATTGTTCTTTATCTATCCAGACTTACATGGTAAGAACATGTAAGTCACTGAGTGAAAACAACTCAACATTCGAATAACTTTTGTTGTGTTTCTTATCCATCCAAAGGCTTACTATCTTACATGGACAGCATTAAGAAGGATCCTGTCGAAATTCCCGAATTTACATCATCTTGCGATTAGAGGCTACATAGTTGAGGAAAGTCATGTAGAAGAATTTTTCAGACTATTACCAAGAATAAAACTGATCGACTCGAGGAAATATGACGGATTTATTCGCGAATCAGCGGATTTTCTGTCCAAATATTGTGAGAAATCCAATCGACCAATTAAAATCTATTATGATTGTGAAGAGGAGCCAAATGAATGGCCTCAATTGGTTAATACTGGCGATCGAATTTGTTATGGATTCGATTTCATGAAACACTGTTTTTATAAAACTTGGGACTCACTTCCGCATTTGCTTGATGAATAAAGTTGCAAAATGACCCATATAATTTAATCTTTAATCTTTAATTCTTTAATCTCAGTGTCCAATTGTTTCGGTGGTAATTATGGTTAATTGTTTAGTCAACTCATCGTTTTTTTTTGTAACACTTTGTTTCCCTTTGGCAAACAGTCAACATAATCCAACCATATTGTTGAATTTAGATTAACCTTTATCTTTGTTTATCTCTGTCTATTTTTTTATTCTCTTTGTTTTTCTCTGTCTTTTGTTATCTACGATTTGTTCTCATTTTCATCATCATCATCTTAATCTCCATCATCTTACAACATCAACAATTCTAATCATCAACAGTGTTATGGTTTAAATGGATGGAAAGAGTTTCTTTTACTATTCCTCTCGGTGACCCATGTAAACAAGATGAATTCATCTGACCAATTGGTTGTGTAAAATTTTTGCTAATCTAAATTGTAAATGGTAAGTTTACATTCAATTAAGTAATTAGACTTTAATTAGTCTTGTATTTTAACCACTGGTTTTCCTTATTGATTAATCTATGAGTCTCTCAATCAGCTCGCTTTTATTTTGGATAATGTTATGTACTTAATGGGGGGATAGAGTAACAATCAGCTGAGAGTTTAAAGGTGGGATTTTTTTGGCTTTTTCTTAATCTGTATTCTATTAATGATGATTAATTTTATCATCTATTCAATCATATCCTGTGTTTGTTTATGCTTTAAATAGATTGATGGACAAATAGAGTTAATCAATTCAGTGTATCGATGATCCTTTTGTTGTCTATTGATTGTCTCTTTTCAAGAACATGTAATTTGAATCATTACGATTTGAATTATGATTGATTATTATAACTTTTTCTCTGTTCAATTTACTTGATCAATCAATTACTCATCTTTAAATTAATATTTCTAATTGAGATACATTAATATTTCAAGTTATTAGATTTTTCGTCATAAAAGAAATGATCATGTTAATATTGATTATCTTTTGCTGGCTTGAGATTCACTAGAAATCAAGATTTATTGATTATCCATTTACTTTTAAATCATTTACTCTAATCAAGGATAAAGATGATAGTAAACAAGATGACAAATTCATGTAACTTGTGAAAAAGCTGAATTTCAGACTTGAATTGAATTGAATGACTTTAAGACTGAATAATTACCATGAATCACCACATGATCATTGGAACCGGTTTATGATCATGAGAAAAGAAAATCAATCCTTCATGAAGAAGAAAAGTCAAAAATTTATCTGAATAATTTACTAACATTGATTTTTTTTATCTTCTTTTATTATTATTAGAAACTCTTATTAACTAATCCTTGGAACTTGGTGTTATTTCAATGGAGTTTTTTTATATGTTTATCACTTCCCTAAATCTAATTAAATTATAAATCTGTTTGTTGACCATAATGAATGACAACTCGGAGGAATCAGAGTCTCACGAATTGGAGGAAGGATCTAATCTAACAAATTCTGGTTTTAATGTACAAATTGTCTCAAGTTCTATTGTCCATCCATCGTCGACCTCATCTTTACTTGCCACTGAACCTCCTCTTCCTGGTGCCATTGAAGAGATGCCTTCGAACAATGTTCCTGATAAACCGAGAGGTTATGATAATAATCATGTTAATAGGGAAGGAGATGATGAAAATGATGAGAATAAATCAAAAATTTCTCTCAATCAAGATACAATTTTCTTTGAAGATGGAGAGCGTCGAATTGATTTTATAATAGTTAACAAAGCTACTCAATTATTTCGTGAAAATTTGACAAATGTCGTGAAATCTTTGAGAATAATTTAATTCAAGAAGGGTTACATTTGGAATCATGTTCGGGTCACAGAGAATTCATTCCTACGATTTACCAAGATTCATGCTCCATGGGAAGTTCTTTCTCGATACGCGGAGATCTTACACTTTAAAATGAAAGTGAAACCGATTGAATCTTGGAAGACAAAATTCATGGACGAATCACTGAGAACATCTCCGTCCATGACATCGAGCATCGCACCGCCAGTCACTACTATAAAGAGACCAAAGTTGAGGAAGAAATTTACTGCAACTTGGAGACGTGACAAAGAATACATGTTCGATATTCAAAGTGATGGTAGAGAACTTTTTCACCAGCCCAAAGATCACGAATCGTTGATTATATTCTCAAACGGACAAGTTTCGATGAAGGTCGAGCGGACGCTTCGTGCCTTGGGATCGATAAAATGATGGAAGATGGTGCTTATCAAGCTGCTTACCCTCTTCACGAGGGTAAATTAACTATGGACCATAAAGATACTCCTCGAATGGAATTATACTCTAAATGGGCCTCGTTTTGCACTTTTGACCTCAACCTCTCGACGAAATATGTCACTATATGGGAGCTAAAATAGCAATGTATTTCGCTTGGTTAGGTTTTTATACGATTATGTTGATTCCCGCCTCGATCGTTGGCCTTGGTTGTTTCATGTACAGTATCGCTACTTACCCTTCGGATAGAGTGTCTCTTGAAATTTGCACCAAATCTTATGATGATGTAGCCATGTGTCCACTTTGTTCAGACCATGATTGTGATTATTGGCTATTATCGTCCTCTTGTATTGACACCTTTTTCTCTTACCTTTTCGATAATCCATCCACTATTTTATTTGCCGTTTTCATGTCCATTTGGTCGGCAATTTTCACTGAATTCTGGAAGCGATACTCAGTTACCATAACCTACCAGTGGGATATCTCATCTTTAGACTATTATGATGAGGTCCCTCGACCAGAGTATCTTGCCAAATTGGACCAACAAAAGAAAAAACAACTCAATTATATTACTCGAATGTACGAACCTTATGTACCTTTCTGGAAGAAACGATTCCCCTACCTTGTTTTATCGGGTTCTTTGGTTCTCTTCTTCATCTCTATACTCATTGCCGTTGTTTTTGGTATAATTTTTTATCGCGTTTCCGTTAAAACTGCCCTTTCAGAAGATCTTGACCCTCGAATTGGTCGATACTCATCTTTAATTAGTGCAACCACAGCATCTTTCATAAACGTTATTCTCATAATAATCTTCAATTGGATCCATGAAAAAGTAGCCTACAAGTTAACTGAAATGGAATTGCCTCGAACTCAAAACGATTTCGATAACAGTCTAACACTTAAATTATACATTCTACAATTTATCAATTATTATTCTTCATTATTTTATATCGCATTCGTTAAAGGTCGATCAGTTCGTAATCCCGGTGATATGTTTAAACCTGGTCTGTTGAACAAAGAGCAATGTGGCCTTGGTGGATGTTTCGTCGAACTGACCATTCAACTAGCAATCATAATGATTGGAAAACAAGCAATATTTGCCATTCTTGAGATGATTCAACCTTGGTTCGAGAAAAAGAAGCTCGAGTAAGTACCAGACAGAATTAAACTAATACTGTATCAGTAGATTTCAAATCGATTAACCATAATTACCTTAATTCTTTATTTTTCAAACAGAAAACTTTTAAACTTTAGTGCTAAAGATTTACTTCGTTTACCTCAATGGGAAGCAGATTTCGCTTTGAAGGGTTGGGAATCAACAGCCTTATTTTATGAATACTTAGAGATGGTCATTCAATTCGGAATGGTCACTCTATTTGTCGTCGCCTTTCCCTTGGCTCCGTTGTTTGCATTGATCAATAATGCATTGGAAATTCATTTGGATGCAAGAAAATTTTTGTGTCACTATAGACGTCCGATTGCAATTCGTATTAAAGATATCGGTGTTTGGTCTCATATTATAACGGCATTGGGTAAACTTTCCGTTCTAACCAATGCTCTGATCATTGCATTCACTTCAAGTTTAATACCCAAAGTTTATTATCACATGAAAACTGGTTCACTTGAAGGTTACATACCCTGGTCACTTTCGTATTATGAGACAAAATATTTACCGCAGAATCTGACCAATTTCATCAATGAGTTTGGCCTTTCCCTCAATTCATCAACCATGTGCGCTTATTCTGGTCTCCGGTATCCACCGGGCAGAAATCATCAGTATCTACCAAGACAAGCCTTTTGGGAAGTTCTCGTTTATCGATTGGTGTTTGTTGTCACTTTCATTAATATAATTTGGATTTTTAATTCTTTCCTCGAATGGATTATTCCGGATGTTCCTAAGAAACTAAATCAAAGGATCAGACAAAACACTTACCTAACTAATGAATTTATCATTAACCAAGAAACAATGAGAACGAGATCATCTTATAGCTCAGCTAAACAATCATCTTCAAATATTACAATTGATCCACAAGTCTAATTGTTAACTGATCATTATATTTAAATATTATCTGAATAATGTACTTAAAATGTTGACAATGTAAAAGAATATATTGATATTTATGTTGTAAATTGTATCAATCAATTGCAGGAAATTTGCAATATCATAAAGCCTATTAAATTGTTTATTTACAAAGTAAACACCGATCCAAGAATTTAATATAAATATAATTACATGTATATTAAAAAGCGAAAATTTCTTTTATTCTCTAAGCAAAAGGCTCGATTTATTATCTGGCCATTAATTCAAAATGTCCAAATCTCGAATTTTTATCATTCAATTAAATACAATAGAGAGATTTCTGATAGTCATGCGGAAGAGTTGGTAAAATTATTATCAACGTTCAAGATATTGGACTTGAGAGAATGTGAGAGAGACACACAGAGACGCACAAATCAGCTATTGGTTTACATCAAAATTGCGTATCAAAGCTCATCACCAATTAAAATCTTGTGGCCTGAATCAGGTGCTTGCAGAGATTTGATTTGCTCTGAATTCAATTCGTTTTTATCAAACTTTCCCCAGTCTTTCAGGTCTCATTGGCGAGTGAAATTTCAATCACATTGTAACAACCAACTCTAATCATTTAATAGAAGTTTTGTTCACTTCATTTTGTCGGTTATCTAAAAAGCCTCATGTCAAATGAATTATTCTTCATGTTTCTGGGAAACTAAATCAACGAATCAGACAAAACACAACAAAATAATAAATTTATCATTAGCCCAGAAACGATGAGGTAAAATATTAAAAAAAAAATTATCTGTGAAAATTCATTAACCGGATGCACTATGTAATTTTCAACAACAACCTATTATTATTAATACCTCACTAAGAAACTCTCTTCATAATGCTCAAAACTAAAAAACGCAAATCACACTTAAAACGAGCGCCTTGAAAGCTACTCTTTCCAAACAAAGGAGCCATAAAGCACCAGAAATTATCAGCTGGTTTTTAACGAAAACTTTTTAGAAGTAAAAAGTTTTTGGAGGGAAACGGCTTACAAAATCCAATTTTGAATTGAAATTTTAAATTATTTCCTTAAATTGATTTCAAGTGAGTTATGTCGATTAACAATCTACCAAACGAGGTTCTTTTTATGATATTTGACCATTTTAATGGATTCGAAGAGTTGATCCGATTGTCTAAAGGTAAGATCAAGATGAAGTTTTAAGTTACAATGTTCCAAATTTATTTTCTACTGATCTCTTAGTCTCTCCAAGATGGTTCTTGGTCGTTTTGCTGAAGTTTAGCAAAGTTAAATATCTTCAATTGATGGATAGTAAGTAAACCTCCACAAGATTAACTCTTGATTTTGACTAATTTTTGAATTGATTGTTTCTAATTTTAGAACGCCAAAGAGACGGTGACTACATAGAGAATAACAAACTTTGGAAAAACACTAGAGAAACTTTGAAAAGTCACAATTTAAGAGATTTGTTGCCCAATCTAAGGGTATTTGCATTTTTCCTACTGATAATAAGTTCGTTTCTAATGAAATATCTTTCGAATGTTTTTTTGCATAGATTATGGAAGTTCCGAAGGATGTTTTTCTCCGTCTCCGTTCTCCGGAATCGTATGATTTTAGAAGGTTGATTAACGAACATCCAAAAATCAGAGGATTAATTGGACTTTATGAACCTGTTGAGTTCGGATATAACTTGGAAAATATCGAAATGATTTCGTCAGATTTCAAATTCGAATTTAAGAAAGTCTTTCGGCCTAATCAGTTGAAACAAATTCGCTTAAAGCAAATTTACATGTCTGAATTTTATCAATATGTCGAATACTTTCCGAGTTTGAAACGACTTAGCTTAACCCTTTATTATGGTATGTTTACTACGACTTAATGCACAAAGAGTTCTAATTTATTTTTGTTTGTTAAAGATTCAGCAAAACCTTACAATGGTCCAAAACTGCTCGATTTAAAAATCCTCGAATTCACTCCAAGTTCTTGGGTGAACAAATTGATTGGATTGCACTTCATGGATTCTTGTCCGAATTTGCAAAGCGCTTTCCTCTCGTATTCTGATGAAAGTTATTTCGCTAAAAATATCGTAGATGAGTCCATAAAGAATTTCAATCTAAGAGACTTGGTTATCGAGAATGTAAGTCATTGAGTTTCAAATTCTTATTAGATTATTCTTAAATTGTTCTTTTATCTATCCAGACTTACATGGTAAGAACATGTAAGTCACTGAGTGAAAAACAACTCAACATTCGAATAACTTTTGTTGTGTTTCTTATCCATCCAAAGGCTTACTATCTTACATGGACAGCATTAAGAAGGATCCTGTCGAAATTCCCGAATTTACATCATCTTGCGATTAGAGGCTACATAGTTGAGGAAAGTCATGTAGAAGAATTTTTCAGACTATTACCAAGAATAAAACTGATCGACTCGAGGAAATATGACGGATTTATTCGCGAATCAGCGGATTTTCTGTCCAAATATTGTGAGAAATCCAATCGACCAATTAAAATCTATTATGATTGTGAAGAGGAGCCAAATGAATGGCCTCAATTGGTTAATACTGGCGATCGAATTTGTTATGGATTCGATTTCATGAAACACTGTTTTTATAAAACTTGGGACTCACTTCCGCATTTGCTTGATGAATAAAGTTGCAAAATGACCCATATAATTGAGTCGTTTTTTTCAATTACATGTAGTTAATAATTGTCTCCTTTATTCATAATTTATAGATTTGAACATAATCAACTGATAATTTCATGAGAAAATCTTTAAAATTCTGATAAGTTTCAATTGAGCCAATAATTATGAGGTAAGATTGTAAATAATCCGAAAGAATTATTGGAATCGTTATATCTTGGAGTGTCGAATTGATTTTACATTATTAGTTAGCAAAACTAATCAATTTTTTGTGAAAAATCTGAAAAAATGCCACAAAATCATCGGAAATAATTTGCTTCATGAAGGGCTAAACTCAAGATCAATGATTCATGTTCTTTTTTCTCTTGTTCATCTCTCAATTGTTCCATGGAATTTTCAAGAATATTACGTGAGTGCAGCTAAACGCGTTTAAAACGCTCCTTTTGTGCTTAAAAAAGTGCTAAATTAATTGATCAGGTGCTTTTGATGATTAATCACTAATGTTATTGATTTTCAATGATAAGTATTATTAATATTTTCCCATATTTATTGATTATTTTCCAAATTTGAAGAGACTCAACTGGCCCCTCGGTAAAAACGTAACTCAAAAATCAGCTAATTCTCTGTTCAAATATTGTGTTAAAGCGAATCGACCAATTCTAATGTATTACAATTGTGAAAACGAACCTGTCGATTGGCCTGAATTGGTAAATATTGTGATTTGTTATGGATCCGACTTTATGAAAAATTGATTTTACGAATCTATCAACTGTCTTCCAGTTCTCATCGATGAATAAAAATGGAAACAAACATTAATAATACACAAAGTTTAACATTAGTTATGGCTACATAACTCTTTCGTCCTTATTGTTGATCAAAACGAGCGCTATTAAAGTTACCCTTTCCTGTCAATGGAAGCATAAAGCACAAGAAACTATCAGCTGGTTCTTTGAAGGAACTGGTTCAACCAATTAGACTTTTGTTCATCTCTTCAACTTGACGTTTTCAAGTGAATTATGTCAATTAACAAACTACCAAACGAGTGTCTCTATATGATTTTGGACCATTTCAATGGATTCGAAGAGTTGATCCGATTGTCCAAAGGTGAGATCGAAATTATCGAGATTTTGCATTTGTTAAACTTTTAATTTCTAAAATTTGATTTCTATTAATTTCTTAGTCTCTCCGAGATGGTTCTCGGTCGTTTTGCTGAAGTTCAGTAAAGTTAAATATCTTCAATTGATTGGAAGTAAGTAGATTCTAATTGTTTCTTGATTTCGAATGATTCTTGATTTGATTGCTTCCAATTTTAGTGTACAATAGAGGCCAGGACTTCATTGAGAATAACAAACTTTGGAAAAATACTTCAGAAACTTTGAAAAGTCACAATTTGAAAGATTTGTTTCCGAATCTAAAGGTAATTGATGACTAGCGTTTTTCCAACAGAAAAATATTAGATTTCTAATTCTATCGATCGAATTTTTCTTCATATAGATTATGGAAGTTCCTGAGAGTGTTTTTCTTTGTCTTGAATCGTATGATTTTAGAAGGTTGATTCACGAACATCCAAAAATCAAAGGATTGATTAGACTTTATCAACCTGTTGAGAACAGATATAACTTGAAAAATATCGAAATGGTTTCGTTTGATTGCAAGTGCGAATTCAAAGAAATCTTTCGACCTGATCAATTGAAACAAATTCGCTTCAACAAACTTTTAGACTACACTGAACTATCACAAGTTATCGAATACTTTCCGAATTTAAAGCGGCTCAACTTACCACTTCGTTATGGTATGTTAAAAAGAATTGATTTGTGAAATCGGTGACAAAATTTTTCTAACTTCGAAATAGACGTAAATAAATACGATGGCCCAAATTTGGCTGCTTTAAAGATACTTGAAGTTGAAGTTGTAACACATTCTTATGATGAGTTTTCTGTATTTCGCTTTATGGATTCCTGTCCAAATCTGGAAAGTGTATTCTTCCATTTTATTCATGGTAAGGATGCTTCTGTTAACGATTCGATAAAGAATTTCAATTTGAGAGATTTAGTTATCGAACAGGTAAGTCGCTGAGTGAAAAATTAGCACTTGATTAACTTTTTTTGTGTTTCTTATTATACAAAGGCTCATCATCTTAAATGGCCATCATTACGAAAAATTTTGTCAAAATTTCCGAATTTACATCATCTTGGAATCAGAAACAATGAAAATATTGACGACAGTCATGTGGAAGAATTGGTGAAACTATTACCAAAAATAAAACTGATCGACTTGAGGAGATGTCACAGAGTGACTCAAAAATCAGCTGATTTTCTTTCCAAAGTTTGCGAGGAATCCAATCGATCAATTAAAATCTATTATGATTGTGATAGATTAACAAATAGATTGGCTAAATCGACATTTCGTTATGAGAAGATCTGCACCGGATTCGATTTTATGAAAAATTGTTTCTTTAAATCTTGGTCCATTCTTCCGGACTTGCTCGATGAAGATTAATCAAACTTTTGTATAATTCTGATTATGAGTTTACTAAAATTGAAAAAAAAGTGAAACTAAAAGTTTCTAAGACGAATCAATAAAATAATCATTTGAATTAAATGTATATTGATGGTTAAAATTCTTTATTTATTTTGTTTAAATAAATCAATTTACTTCATCGATAATAAACAATTTACTTGATAATGTTTTCCTAAGTTTCGATAATGTTTAAAGATTGATTATCTTTCTATCTTAATTGATGAATAAAATTTTAGATTGATCATCTATGATGTTTCGAGGCGAAAGACGAAAGTTCATTTTTATTCCCAATTTTTGTATGCAAATTTATCATTGCGAAAACTCATGTTATGAATACTTCGAGCGCTTGGACTCGATAGTCAATCGGCTGTTCTTTCCGAGGGAAACGAATTTTGTTCATTAATGATTAATGACATTAATCATTAATGTCATTGAAATTCAATGACAAGTTATCGTTATTTCTTTAAGTTTACAAATCAATTATGTCATTAAACGATTTACCTGATAACTGTCTTTGAAAGACCTTTGAGAATTTCCATGAACTCAAAGAATTGATTCAATCTTCTTAAGGTAATATTCAGTTACGATTAAGTTTGAATGCTTATTTATTTAGTTTTATTCCAAAGTTTGTTCAAGATGGTCCGATTTAATTCTGTCCAAGTTCAGCAAAGTTGAATATTTGCAATCGAGAGATACTGTAGTAAATTAATTTTCATCTAATTGATTTCGCTTTTAACTAATTCGTTCTCTTTTCACAATTCTAAGGTACAATTGATTGGATCGATAATAACCTATGGAACAAGTTTGCAACATTACAATTTAAGAGAATTGTTTCCAAATATCAAGGTAACTGTGCCTTAGATCAAGTTCATTTCTAATGATCTTTTATCTTTGTGATAGAGGGTTCGTCTATTTTCCGTAAGTCTTTTTCTCATTTCAGGCTTCGATCAGATTTTTATGAAAATACGATGAAGAGAAAGGAGCAAAAATGGGAATTTGAATGACTTATAATTTCATTATGATTCCCTCGTTTCAGGGTTTACACTGGCAATAAAAGATAATGAACTCCAATAATTCACCAAGTCTGATTGAACACGTGGAAGCTTCCTTCAAATGCTTAGTTAATTTTCTTCGATAAAATTATGGAAAAACGACAGGTTGATAAACTGAAATTCTCTCATTATGAGACTATAGTTTTAATGATAATTTATTCGACTGAAATTTTCGAGACAATATTCAACATTCATGGAAGAATATTTATTGATACAATAAAATTTAGGTGATTTTATTCATCAATTAGAAATGGAAGATTGGAAAAACTCTTATAAAAACAATGTTTCATGAAATCGAGTCCGTGGACAATTGATTCTCGAGGAGTGTCGTATTTAGGCCAGTCAATTGGTTCCTTTTCACAATCGTAATAGATTTTAATTGATCGTTTGGATTTAGCACAATATTTAGCCAAGAAATCAGCTGATCTTTGAGTGATGTTCTCACATTTTCTGAAGTCCAACAGTTTTACTTCTGGCAAAATCTCCACCAATTCTTCAACATGACAATCCTCAATCTCATCGCTCATTCTGATCGCAAGGTTATGTAGATTTGGATATTTGGACAGTAGATCTCGCAAGAATGACCAATTCATATCTTCTTGAGTTGGCTTGAGAAGAACAGAAAATTACTAATTATTTAAGGCGAATCTTTAATTTGCTACTCACCATTTCGATAACCAAATCTCTGAGATTGTAGTTCTTCAAGGACAGATCAATAAAATCATCCTCTGGAAAATTTTTCATGAAAGCGCTTTCCAAAGATGGACAAAAGTCCATCAAATGAAAAGCACTACAATTATCATGCCCTTCGAATGTATAAGATTCAAGGATCTTGAGATTGGACATTTCCGGACCATTGTAACGAATTTCCTCACCTTTAATAATTATTTTTTCATTAATCGTGAACATGAATCGAATCGCAATAACTTACCATCAAACATTGAGATGTTGAGTCGCTTTAAATTTGGAAAGTATTCAATTATTTCAAAAAGATATTGCATATAGAATTCAGAAAAATGAATTTGTTTCAATTGATCAGGTCGAAAGACTTTTGTATAATTGAACATATCCATTGCAAACATCTCGATATTTTCCAAGTTGAGATTATGATAATTAACAAAATCCAGTCCAATCAATCCTTTTATTTTCGTATTATTGTTAATCAATTGACTGAAATCTTCAAGTTTTTCTCCACGTCCATAAAAATCAGCAGAGATGTCGAGAATCTAATCGATACAAAAAAAACACGAACAAATATCGAATAGACAACTGAAATTTTATATTTACCCTGAGGTTTGGTAACAATTCTCGTAAATTATGGTTACCGATCGTCTCTGGATCTCTTATCCATAACTTGGTATAATCAATATGATCGATAGTGTTTTCTTCAGGTCCATGGAAAAATTGATCAAAACAAATTAACAATTACACGTAGATGGAAATTTACTCACCGTTAAGTAGATATTTAACTCGGGAAAATCTTACAGAAATTAAGTTGGACCATCTAGAACAAACTTTAAAATCAAATAGAATTACAAATTATGTTATTGCTACAGCAGAATATTTAAATTTTACCTTTAGACAATTTGATTAATTCTTCTAGATTAAAGAAGCTGTCGAAGATCATCCAAAGACAATCATTAGGTAAATCGTTTATGAACATAATCGAAATTTACTGAACCGATGGAATCAAATTTAAATTAACAGTTTTGGAACAATTTAGAAACAGAAACGATTTGATATCGTCAATTTTTTTCAACAAATTCTTAGCTTTTGTCTTATTCGCAGCCGTTTCCAGCTGAAAGGCTCAGTGTCAAAGCGCTTCTTTTGAATAGTTTAGTTGAGGAAAACTTTTCGAATTGAATAAAAGTTAGTATGTATTCTTCGAGTGATGGTAAACTTGGATCAATTGGAGGCATTGGGAGTAGAATCACATTTGATGAGGATCTTTATGGTCCATAGATGATTTACCCCCATAAAGAAGATTGGAAGATTGATAGACACCATCGTTTTAATGATTCCAAGGGACGAAGTATCCGATTGACCTTTTTCGTGACTTGCCTTGACGTGACTTATTTCTCAACTAGATAATATATCATAATAATATAATGAATAACATTGTGAAATTGAATTTATAGATCTTAAAATGATATAGTTATTGACAATCGTTGAAGTTTTAGCAATTTACATAAGTTCGGCAAATAAGTGCGTTTATGTTTCACGTTCGTTATAATTAATGAAAGAGAGAGAGAGAGAGAGAGAGAGAGAGAGAGAGAGAGAATTGATTAAAATTAGAAAACAATTAATTTATAATTTAATTGAGTAAAATAACTTCATTTGATGACTAGTAAGTTGATTTCCACTTGATCCATCTACAATTTTAATTTTTGATTTCCAATTTTTCAATTAGAAGGCAAAGTTGCTTATAATGATAATTGAAGTTGACAGTTAAAACAAGTTTACTGCTGCAATTTTGATAAGAATTATTTTACCATATTTATTGAATATTTTCCGAATTTGAAGCGACTTAACATAGAACTCAATGAAGGTGAGATTCAACTTGAATTAGTCTTACGTAAAGTAAATGGTGTTACGTGTTATAATGTTTTTATTGTACCGTATTTTCCAATTGTATCATATGATTAACATCTTTTTACGATTTATAGTGGACCAAGTTTATCGAATCAATCATCAGCATCATGAAATAGACGACAAGCATGTTGATAAAACCATAGATCACGAATTGGTGATTAAGGAATGGCCAGTATTGTTTTGTTTTCAAATGAAAGCACATCGAAATTTTGTTCAATTAAATTTATTCTTTCCATTATCGAGCAACGCCAAATTCAAAGCTTTGTATTCTAAATTTTGAATATTCCACTAACAAAATTAATCTCAAAATAAGCGCCATTAAAGTTATCCTTTCCCGTCAACGGAGGCTTAAAGCATTAGAAACTATCAGCTGGTTTTTAGAGGGAACCGATTTAAACTTTAAATTTTGTTTACCTTTTTAAATTGATCTCAAGTGAATTATGTCAATTAACAAACTACCAAACGAGTGTCTCTATATGATTTTGGACCATTTCAATGGATTCGAAGAGTTGATCCGATTGTCCAAAGGTAAGTTCAAATTATCGAAATTTGAAATTTGTTAAAATTTGATTTCTATTGATTTCTTAGTCTCCCCGAGATGGTTGTTGGTCGTTTTGCTTAAGTTTAGCAAAGTTAAATATCTTCAATTGATTGGAAGTAAGTAAACCTTCAACTGATTGATTCTTGATTTTGACTGACTCTTCATTTGATTGCTTTAATCTTAGGATACAGAAGTGACCTGGACTATATTGACAATGACAAACTTTGGAAAAATACTACAGAAACTTTGAAGAGTCACAATTTAAGGGATTTGTTTCCCAATCTGAAGGTAATTGATAAATTGCGTCTTTCCATCAGAAAAATATTTAGTTTTTAAATCTATCGAATTTTTCTTTATATAGATTGTTGAAGTTCCGTTGCATTTTTTTGTTTCCCTTGAGTCATATGATTTTAGAAGGTTAATTAACGAACATCCTAAAATCAAAGGATTAATTGGACTTTATGATCCTGTTGAGTACGGATATAACTTGGAAAATATCGAAATGATTTCATCAGATTTCAAATTCGAATTCAAAAAAATCTTTCGACCTGATCAATTGAAACAAATTCGCTTCGACAAAGTTTTAGACTACTCTGAACTATCACAAGTTATCGAATACTTTCCGAATTTAAAGCGGCTCAACTTACCACTTCGTAATGGTATGTTAAAAAGAATTGATTTGTGAAATGTATGATCTAATTTTTCTAACTTCGAAATAGACATTAAAAAATACGATGGCCCGAATTTGACTGCTTTAAAGATACTTGAAGTAGAGGTTGTGACATATTCTTATGATGAGTTTTCTATATTTCCCTTTATGGATTCCTGTCCAAATCTAGAAAGTGCATTCTTACTTTTTATTCATGGTAAGGATGCTTCTGTTAACGATTCGATAAAAAATTTCAATTTAAGAGATTTAGTTATCGAACAGGTAAGTCGCTAAGTGAAAAATTGATGATGAAATTGTGAAAAAGAATTGCACTTGATTAACTGTTTTTTGTGTTTCTTATTATCCAAAGGCTGGTCATCTTAAATGGTCATTATTACGAAAAATTTTGTTGAAATTTCCGAATTTACATCATCTTGGAATCAGAAACAATGAAAATATTGACGACAGTCATGTGGAAGAATTGGTGAAACTATTACCTAAAATAAAACTGATCGACTTGAGGAGTTGTGACGAAGTGACTCAAAAATCAGCTGATATTCTGTCCAAATATTGCGAGAAATCCAATCGATCAATTAAAATCTATTATGATTGTGAAGAGGAACCAATCGAATGGCCTCAATTGGTTTATGGTGGCGATCGAATTTGTTATGGATTCGATTTCATGAAACATTGTTTTTATAAAACTTGGAACTCACTTCCGCATTTGCTTGATGAATAAAGTTGCAAAATGACCCATATAATTGAGTCGTTTTATTCAATTACATGTAGTTAATAATTGTCTCATTTATTCATATTTCAGTTCTCTTCCAATTCTCATGGATGAATAAAAATCGAAACTCCTATTATACAATATTAATAAATATGCTATTATGAAATATAACCCAAAGTTTAATATCACTTCGGTAACATTTATTATTCTTCGTCCAGTCCTTATTGATGACTGAAATCATTAGAAAATGGATCAGTCTATCAAATCTTCCAAAAGAAAAACAAGCGTCGAAATTTAAACTCAAATAATTTAACCATTTAGTTCTTTAACCTTCAAGAGATTTCAATAAGCTCACAGTTATTGATTTTTAATACTTTCCTCGAATGGATTATTCCGGATGTTCCTAAGAAATTAAATCAAAGAATCAGACAAAACACTTATCTAACTAATGAATTTATCATTAATCAAGAAACAATGAGAAAACTATTAAACAGGTTCTGTTTAACAAAATTATCTTCAAAATTTTCTCAACCAAATATAACATACTATTGATTTTCAACAAACAACATTGAAACCTCAATAACAAAATACCTTTATTCTGGAATTCGGTAAATCACACTCAAAACGAGCGCTTTGGAAGTAAATCTTCCCTACTAATGGAGCCATAAAGCACCAGAAACTATCAGCTGGTTTTAACGAAAACTTTTTAGTAGTAAAAAGTTTTTGGAGGGAAACGGCTTACAAAATCCAATTTTGAATTGAAATTTTAAATTATTTCCTTAAATTGATTTCAACTGACAAGTGAGTTATGTCGATTAACAATCTACCAAACGAGTGTCTTTTTATGATATTTGACCATTTTAATGGATTCGATGAGTTGATCCGATTGTCCAAAGGTAAGATCAAAATGCAGTTTTAAGTTGAAATGTTCCAAATTTATTTTCTATTGATCTCTTAGTCTCTCCAAGATGGTTCTTGGTCGTTTTGCTGAAATTCAGCAAAGTCAAATATCTTCAATTAATGGATAGTAAGTAAACCTCCACCTGATTAAGCCTTTATTTTGACTAATTCTTAAATTGATTGTTTCTAATTTTAGAACGCCAAAGAGACGGTGACTACATTGAGAATGACAAACTTTGGAAAAATACTAGAGAAACTTTGAAAAGTCACAATTTAAGAGATTTGTTTCCCAATCTAAGGGTATTTGCATTTTTCCTATCGATAATAAGTTCGTTTTTAATGAAATATCTTTCGAATGTTTTTTGTATAGATTATGGAAGTTCCAAAGGATGTTTTTCTCCGTCTTGAATCATATGATTTTAGAAGGTTGATTAACGAACATCCTAAAATCAAAGGATTAATTGGACTTTATGAACCTGTCGAGAACAGATATAACTTGGAAAATATCGAAATGATTTCATCAGATTTCAAATTCGAATTTAAAAAAGTCTTTCGGCCTAATCAGTTGAAACAAATTCGCTTAAAGCAAATTTACATGTCTGAATTTTATCAATATGTCGAATACTTTCCGAGTTTGAAACGACTTAGCTTAACCCTCTATTATGGTATGTTTACTACGACTTAATGCACAAAGTTTTAATTTCTTTTTGTTTGTTAAAGATTCAGCAAAACCTTACAATGGGCCAAAATTGCTCGATTTAAAGATCCTCGAATTTACTCCGAGTTCTTGGGTGAATAGATTGATCGGATTGTACTTTATGGATTCTTGTCCGAATTTACAAAGTGCTTTCCTCTATTATTCTGATAATGGTGGTTATACGAAGGATACCGTAAATGAGTCCATAAAGAATTTCAATCTAAGAGACTTGGTTATCGTCCATGTGAGTCATTGATTAATAAATTCCTATTAGATTATCATTAATATTTTCTTTCATTTCTCCATTTAAAGTCTCACCATCTTACATGGTCCTCATTACGAAAAATTTTGGCGAAATTCCCGAATTTACATCATTTTGCGATTAGAGGCTGGTACTTGATTGAAGACAATCATGTGGAAGAATTGGTGAAATTATTACCAAAAATAAAACTGTTGGACTTCAGAAAATGTGAGAATATCACTCAAAGATCAGCTGATTTCTTGGCTAAATATTGTGCTAAATCCAAACGATCAATTAAAATCTATTACGATTGTGAAGAGGAACCAATCGAATGGCCCAAGTTGAACACTCCTCAAGAATTGATTGTTTACGGATTTGATTTCATGAAACATTGTTTTTTTAAAACTTGGGACTCACTTCCGCATTTGATTGATGAATAAAGTTGATTTGAACATAATCAACTGATAATTTTCATGAGAAAATCTCTAAAATTCTGCTAAGTTTCAATTGAGCCAATAATAATGAGGTAAGATCGTGAATAGTCCAAAAGAATTTTGATATTTATTGGAATCGTTACCACATCTTGGAGAGTATCGAATTGATATAATAGGTAACAAAGTTACTAAATTTTCTCGTGCAGAATTTGACAAATATAGTGAAATTTTGGATAGTTTAATTAAAAGCTCAACCTTTTGAACCCTGTTCAGATCATAGAGGGAATTGATGTTACAATCTTAAAGATTCATGCTCCATGGGAGTATCACATCGCTAATAAAAAACCAAGTTGCGAAATTAAATGAAACTTCGAGAACATTTCCATATTTTGATTTATCGGGTTCTTTGATTCTCTCGGTTATCTCTCAGTTGTTCCATAGAATTTCCAAGAATTATACTAGGTTGCAGTTCAAACGCGTACAAAATACTCTTTTTATCTCATTCATAGAAAGCGCTCGTTCTTATATGTTCATTTATCAGCTGTTTTTTGACTCTTCAACCGAAATTTCAAATTAGTGCTTCAGCATTCATTCAAGTTTTTAAGCGATTAATTAGTGGAATCATAATCATGTCATTTAACGATTTGCCCGATAATTGTCTTTGGAAGATCTTCGAAAATGTCCATGGGGTCAAAGATTTGGTTCAATTGTCTAAAGGTAAGATTCCGTTAAGGTGATAAAATTTGAAAGCTCATTTAATTTCCCTTGATTCTTAAGTTTGTTCAAGATGGTCCGATTTAATTACGCTGAAATTTAATCGAGTTAAGTATCTTCGTTTGAT